TCCCAGCACTGGGAGAGGCAAGTGGATCTTTAAGTCCCAGGTCAGGCTGGTCAGCGTTTTGAGCTCCAGGTCATCCAGGACTACATAGAGAGACCCTGTCTCAAAAATAAATAAATTTTAAAAACAAAATAAAATACTTGTTTTATTTTTTATTTTTTGGTTTTTCGAGACAGGGTCTCTCTGTGTAGCTTTGCGCCTTTCCTGGAACTCACTTTGTAGACCAGGCTGGCCTCGAACTCACAGAGGTCTGCCTGCCTCTGCCTCCTGAGTGCTGGGATTAAAGGCATATACCACCACCACCCGGCTGTTTTATTTTTATGTTACACATTTCATGTGTATGTGGGTGTTTGTATGTACTATGTGCATACAGGTATCAAGGAGGCCAGAAGAAGATGTCATATCTCATGTAATTGGAGCTACAGGTAGTTGTGAGCTGCCTGACATGGGTGCTGGGAACTGAACCCAGGTACTTGGCAAGAGCAGCAAGTGATTTTAACTGCTCAGCCATTCCTCCAGCCCCACATTTATTTTCTTTCTTTTTTTTTTTAAAAGAATCTTTTTTTTTTTTAAAGATTTATTTATTTACTATGTATACAGCATGTATGACTGCAGGTCAGAAGAGGGCACCAGATCTCATTACAGATGGTTGTGAGCCACCATGTGGTTTCTAGGAATTGAACTCAGGACCTCTGGAAGAGCAGGCAGTGCTCTTAACCTCTGAGCCATCTCTCCAGCCCTATTTTATTTCTATTTATGTGTATGCGTGTACATCTGTATGTGAGTATGTATAGATGAGTGCAGGGGCCCTAGAGGGAAGAGAGTTACAGGTGATTGTGAGCTGCCTGGTGTGGGTGCTGGAAACCATACTTGGTACTCTTAACCATCTATGAGCTCTGAACCATCTCTCCAGCCCCTTCTTTTTTTAATTTGTGTGTCATGCTAATCTTCTCCACATTGTTCCAATTTTAGGATCTGTGTTGCCAAAGCAAGAACCTTTTTCCTCCCCTTTGGCTTTTTTTTTAAGTGAAATATTCTCTTTTTTAATGATTTATTTTTATTTTATGTGCATTAGTGTTTTGCGTGCATGTGTGTCTGTTGGATTCCCTGGAACTGGAATTACAGACAGCTGTGAGCCACCATGTGGGTGCTGGGAATTGAACCCAGGTCCTCTGGAAGAGCAGCCAGTGCTCTTAACTACTGGGCCATCTCTCCAGACACCACCACCCCCACTTTGTTTTCAGACAGGGTTTCTCTGTGTAGCCTCAGCTGTCCTGGAACTCTCTCTATAGACAGGCTGGCCTGGAACTCACAGAGATCCTCCTGCCTCTGCCTTCCGAGTGCTGGGATTAAAGGTGTGTGCCACCACCATCCAGCCAGAATTTTTTTTTTTTTCAGTGAAAGGAGCACTTCCATCTCAGGAAAAAGCAGGAGAGACACAGTTATTGCATCTGAGCTTCACGTTTCCTACACTGTCCTATGTTCCCCAGCAGGAGGCTACATTTCTGGGGGTTTAACAGCCTTTTATTGCTGATACTATAGAACTGGCCCAGCTCCAAGGTGGTAGTAGCTATACTGAGTAGTCTTTAACTGCACAGCCACTCTTGAACAACTGACTTCCTGGGGAACTAGACTCCAGACTATCCCACCATCTGGCCTTCTCACAAACAGCTTTATTCAAAGAACTTAAAAGCTAGAGAGCCAAGACCCTCATCAAGAACAGCATGCAGGTTTTAGCACTACTACCCTCTGCAGTGTGAAGTGGCCACAAGTACATGGGTGCTAGCGCTTACAGCAGCCTACCCTGAGGTCTCCTCATCATATCCAGGATATTCTCAGTCCTGCCCACCAGCTTCCTAGGTGCTTCATTTCACATGGATCTCAACCAGGAGCAACCACAGAATAGCCCTTTCTGGTGTTCTGGCACATATTGAGAAACAGAATGGCCATTATGGCCCATATGTTAAGTTTTGGGTGGAATCTGCCACTGCTCATCATCCTAGACACTGAGAGAATAGAGTTGGAGTCAGGGGAAGCAGAGGGTAGTGTGTGTGTGTGTAGCAAACAGCTCATAGGAAAATCTCATCCCACTAAATTGTTTCCTGGGGCTGGCAAGATGGCTCGTCAGATAAAGACGCTTATCACACAGCCTAGCAACTGGAATTTAAACTCTGGAATCCATGTAAAAGTGGAATAAGAGAACCAACTCCATAAAGTTGTCTCTGATCTCCATATGTGGACTGTGGCAGTCCACATACATATACACGCACAATATACATGCACAATAATAAATAAAATTTAAAATCTATTTCCTGTAGACTTCCTCAGGGCCTGCAGTATATACTAAATATATACTAAATTCTGTAATAGTGAAATGTATACTAAATTCAGAGACTTAAGACATGCTTAGGACAATGGAAGGGCAGATCCTCTGAGATGAGGACTGTAGTAGAGGCGTTCCATGGTATGTAAGTGGAGTGCAAGCTTTCACCTCTACCACCTGGAAATAGATGGTGCTGGCATTAGGTCCAGATGAGCTTATACCAAGGATTTGTGGAGAGTGGACTCTGGCTATCAGATATGTTGCTCCTGCCCATTCTACTTCCTCAGGATAGTGGGTATATTTTGAGTGAGCTCTGTCACTCAGATTCTTGTGAGTTTTAGCTGTCAGCGGAAGCTACCATAACCACTAAGAAATGACCCTCTGGTACTCTTCTGCCATCTATTTAGTGTTCTGTAAACCAGGCCTGGAGACTCAGTATGGAAGGGAAACTGCTCTCTTCAGTGGCCAATACACGCTGACCTACAATCATCTTACAGAACAGAATGGGAAACACAAATAGCTTGGAGGAACTTTTGTGTTTTAGGGGGGTATGGGGTAAACATGCCAAACCTGAATCTTTGTCCTGAATGCAGATAGCCTCAGACCCTGGACTGGTAACTGAGGTCAGAGGAAATTGATCAATAGGTAAGAATGTGGGCATGAAGCCTGTAGGTGCATACACAGGCTTCCTGGGCCTAACAAGGGGGCATGGAGAGGTAATCCATCTCCACCTCCACCACCACCACCACCACCACCACCACCACCACCACCACCACCACCAGAGGCTTCTGTTCCACCAGCAGACTAGGGCCCTGTATCTAAAGCATCATCACAAAAGCAGCTACCTCCCACAAATGCACAACACATTCAGTGCATGGGCAGTGTTCCTTTGGATGTCAGGGTGAGCCCTACAATGCCCTCTCAGGTTCTTGGGAAATGGTGGTACGCAAATTCTCAAGAAACCCACCACTGCTTGGCTCAGACACAATGTAGGCCCCAAAGCGCACCCCACATCTCTCAATGCTTTTGGCTCCTAGGACTCGCTAGAGTAGCCAAAGTAGTGCAAGGAGGGTATGTAAGTAGAGGGCTGGGCAGTAGACTGTGGACCACAGGCTGTGATGGGGACTACCCTGTAAAGCTCGGCCTCCTGTCCTCTGAGTTGTAACAGCAGCAACTTGAATTACTTCAGACTCCTCCCAAAGTAGATCCTGGGCTGCGGAAGTGAGGCCCTGGTACACAGATGACAACGAACACAGAGGGGCGGCAGGCCGAATGATCAGAGTACAGGTGCTGCAGACCTGCCTCCCTTCCTCCCCAGACACAGCAAACACTGTACAGCCAAACTTCATGCTGCCCACACGTGTACACCGTTGGGGAGGGTTTGGGGGGGGATTTTTTTTTTTCCTTTTCAAGACAGGGTTTCTGTGAAGCCATGGCTGTCCTGGAACTCACTCTGTAGACCAGGCTGGGCTCGAACTCACAGAGATCCACCTGTCTCTGCCTCCTGAGTGCTGAGACTAAAGGTGTGCACCACCACCACCCGGCTTGAAAAATAAAGCATTTTAATGAGACTGCAGGCACAGTTTATAATTGACTTGACTGTATTTTAGAGTCTGGGTCGTTAGTGGGGAAAAAGACGAAGTAAGCTTGGGTTGGGGCTAGTGATTCTGGGAGGAGAGGCTCTGTCTACATAAGGACTCGAGGGGAAGCCTGTTTCTGACTACCTTTAGCTGTCTGTCAGAAGCCCCAGGGTAGGAGGTCACACAGAAGGTAGCTCACCAGCGTGACCCCTTGGGGTTCGATGTTGCAGAGTCCTTGGAGTGAGCCTGTCCTGGGGAGTGTTGTTTGTTCCTGTCCCTTATGAAGCTCCTACACTAGCCTCTCTTAGAGCCTGTCATAGCAGGGGGTCTCCTATCCCCAAAGTCTTAAATGCCAAGGTCTTATCCCGTTCCTGCGAAGAAGAAAAGACTGCATCCCAGGCACTGATAACGGGACCTAGTGCAGGTCCCGGGCAGGAAGGCAGGGCCAGTGTCCCTGACAGGTCCTGGCCTCCAGGCTGGTAGAGGATCCTGACAGAAACCACTTGGCAACATCATCAGCCTCCCAATACTCCTCCCTAGCCTTCCTTTCCCTCAGGAGATTTGGGAATCCTTCCTGCAGCAGTCTCTCCTCCCTTTCTTCCACCACTTTCTATGCACAGACGGGACCTGAATGGTCCTGGGCACTTCCTCCAAGCCATGTGGAGTCCTCGCCACCAGAGGGCCCGGTCTTCGGCACAGGTATAAGATCCTGTGGCCTCCTCCCCTGAATGCTTGTCCTGAATCTTATGTCCTCAACCTGCCCTCAGACACTGTCCATCTCCCCGCCAAATGCTGCCCAGAGACCACTGTGTGCAATTCCACTGGCAACCGGAGAGGATTGCCATCGCGCGTGCTGCTACCAGGCTTGCCACTGGGTTTCCGGGAGTCAAGCGAGGACGGTGCCCAGCATGACCAGTAGGAAAACGACTGGAGGAGTCACGCGGGTCAAAGGCAGGACCTGCACCCTATCTCCCCACCCCTCCACCCCATCCCACCCCCGAGAAAAACCTCGGTTTCGGCAGCGGCAGCCCCTCCCTCACTGGGCTAGGGAAGAGGGACTCTCGGGTGGGCGGAGCAGGCAGTTCACGGCTCTGGAGGTCTGGCCTCCGGCCGCACAGACTGCGGGACGCGGGTCCGCTCGCCGGAGGCCGTACAGGCCTTAGCCGATAGCGCCCTCTCGCGGCCAGAGCGGAAGGCGGCAGTCACAGTCACCAGGTAAGTCGTGCCGGGTGTCAGGCCCTGGATAGTGGTGCTGTTGTGGCCAGGAGGCACCTCCACGCGCTGCAGGGAGCCGCCCCGCAGAGGCCCGAGCTGTATATGGTAGCCGAGAGTGGAGTCCGGGCCAAGCGCGGGGGCCCAACTTATGCGGAGGCTGCGCGGCCTGGTATGAGAGATGATGATGCACTCTGGCCCGGCCTCCTCTGCGGAGGAAGAGGGTGGTTGATTGAAGGGGCACCCCTGCATGCCACCCTGCCCTCCCATGAGGTACCCCTGCTTCACCTTGCAGCGTGCGTACTCGCACGTGCTGGGGCCTCAGGAGGCGCACGTTGGACTCAGGCAGCAGCGCTACTTCATAATCTGTGTCCGGGTTGAGATCGGTCCAGATCCAGCTGGTGGCATTCCCTGGCAGCTGTTGGCGTCTTGTGGCTGCCAGTTTGTCACTGGGCACCAGCTCCAGCACGTAGTAACCAGAGTCTGCTGTCAGCAGGGGCGGCCAGGACAGGCGGAAGCCATTGGACATAACCTCCGAGGCACGAAGCTGCTGTGGCTGCATGGCATCTAAGAACGGGACAGTGCTGGGGTCAGGGAACAGAAGTGGTCTTCTCTGTGTCACCGAGTGGGGCTCTCACTGATCTGGAGAGGACCCGAAGATTGGAGCCCTGGTAAGACCGGTGAGGCCTTCTGCTAAGAAGAGGCAGGAGCCAGGTGGTTATTCACTAGCAGCAGGTGCTAATGACTAAAGACTCTGGGCTAGTGGAGGAACAGAGTACAGTCCCCAACTCCAGGCCCCATCATAAACTTTCCTGCCTATTTATTTCATCCTTAAATTCAAACCTGTAAGATATAGTGGCTACTCCTCACAAAAAAGCAACCTGAATGAGGGTCTCTCCAAGGCTGCAAGGTCCACAGTATTATCTAAGAACAGAGGACCAGCCCCCCAAGACTGAGTGGTCAGCACAAAAATCTGTTGTGAGCCATAGTCTGAACAGTTGTGAAGGAGGAAAACAGATCAGAGGCTGCAGCCAGGAGATGTGAGACTAGGTGTTAGTGGCACCTAGAACAATGCAAATGTGGTAACCCTGGGAGCTGCTGGACCTAGGATTAGGGAGAGAGTGAGACCTTCCTATACAAGAGAGTGGAAAGGGGGACTCCAGAATGGGCTCCTGGGCTTATGACAACAAACACATGGTCAGCCATCTGATCAGTATTCACACAAGGCTGGGTAGGCACATCCAGACCTTGGCTTTCTTCCTTGATGAGGTGGGGTGCTGTTTGGTCAGCTGGGCACTCACTTTCCTGCCCAGCCTCCCATCCAGATTCTGACCTTAGCTACAGGTGTCCCACCCTAGTATTTATTTCTGATGACAGCCTTTTCTCCTTCCCCCTCCAGGTTCATCTGGGCCTCTTGGCCCAGGAGCTACCAGGTGATGTCCCTGAGGAATCTCTTGAGGCAGACCTTTCACCCTTTGCAACCAACAGACCAACCCCTTCCTGTTTAGTGTAGATGATTAATCCATAGTAAGAGACTTGGTAAGAACGCTACCCTGGAGTAATAGCATTTTTCAGTGCCTACCACAGGCTAAGCCAACCAACGGGCCCTTCGTCTCTAGCCCCTTCTCTTTGGGAGATCAGCTTTGGAGGTCCAGAAGAAAGGTGGTGCTAAGCTCCTAGAGTGTATTCCCTGTTCTGGCTTCCCCAGCAGTCCCCACAATGGACCAGAGTGAAAGAAAACCAGCTCAAACCCCTCCCTGACTATGGCTCCCTACCATGGAATATGTAGAGCCTGAACTCTGTAAGAGACAATCCCTGACCTACTTGGCTCTCCTTTCTCCAGGAATGGTGGGCCTGGCAAGCCATTTGGCCCCTGGACACACACAAAGGCACATGATGCCACAGACAGAGACCCCTGGGGGAGCCTTGGACCTCCTTTATCTGTACTAAGCCCCTTCACATACACTCCACCCAAAGTAGCCCTCAGTTCATTGGCCTATACATGCCAGGGAGTCCCATCTTGAAGTGGTCACTCAGACCTGCCATAGTCCCTTTATAGCCCAGACGTCAGGGTACATGAAGGCACCCAGAAAGAGTGTGTTCCTGGACGGTATGAAGAGAACATGTGGATCACCTCCCCACTGCTGTATCCACAAGGGCATCAGGCTCATGAGTTTCCCCTGATGTCTTAGCCCAGATCCTCCCCCTGTCGTTGGCTGTCAGCTTGGGATTCACAGGCCCTGGCTCTTCCCACCTACCAGTAATGGAGTCCCGAAGTTCTGGGGCAATGATGTGAAGGTCATCCACATCCACAAAGTGTAGGTGCTTCTCAGCGGGAGTTGAGGCAGCTGCCAACAGCTCCAACAGGTTACCCCGGCCAGTGCTAACAATGAAGATGGTGACACCCAGGTCCTTGAGCTCCTGCATAGGAGGGCCCACGGGGTCACTGGAGCCGCCATCTGTCACCCACACCAGTACCTTTGGAACCCCTAGCCGGGCACCTGCTACTTCAGCAAACAATTGCTCTTTGGCATAAGCCAGTGCCAAGCCTGTATTGGTGTCACCCATACGTTGGGATGCAACACGTACGGCATCCTGTACAGCCTGGCCTGAACTGTATTGGTCAAAAGTAAACTCTGTGTATGGCTGACTCCCCACATGCACCAGGCTAGCACGCACAGCCCCAGGGCCAAAAGGCATTGCAGACACCAGCTGCCCCACAAATTCCCGAACTCTTGAGAATTCATAGTGTGACACACTGGCTGAGCTGTCCAGCAGGAACAACAGGTCCCCCTGGGGGGCTGATGCTGTGGCACCTAGAGGAAAAGACAAGGGTTCAGTCCAGGTGGTAGCTCCCCAAACAGTCCCATGCCCAGGGCAGGACCACCCCCAAAGGCCTGGACTTCCCTGAAGCATATGCTTGCCTTTGCCCAAAGATACTGGTAGTAGAATTCCCAGAATGGGGTTATTAGGCAACAAAAGGCCCACACTCTCCAGTGGTTCCCGACTGTACAAAGGCCATTTTCCCAGGACACCCTGGGCTGCCCTCATGTTCCTTATACAAGTGCTGATACTGTCCTCAATAGATACTGCATGCAGGTGGAGCCAGGGGCTCAGGCCTAGGTCTGAAGGGACCTGCGTCACATGCATTGCTCTCCTTAGACTTAATTTTCAGAAGGGCTACCTCCAGGATGGAGCTAAGCTAGGTAGCTCAGTTTCCAGGTGAAGCCATGGGCTCTGAGCATGCACAGCAATGCAGACAACAGGGGAGGATGGGAGAGCAAAAGTGAAGGGATGGGAAGACAAAACACTGTACAGCCCTTCCCACCCATCATATGGCCAGGCTGGAATCCTGACCCCAGTTACAGATGACATCACCCCTCCCCGCCTCTATCCTTCATTCTCTGCTTCATTTGTACCAAGAAAGCAGGATATATCCACCCGAAACGGCCTGAGGGCCCAACCATTATCTAGTGAGCCTCTCCTTTTATTGCGGTTTCTTCCAGCCGGTGATACTGATCAGTACTCAAGGTACCTACCGATGAGACCTTCCATCCCTAAGTCTCAAGTAGACAGGGGCTCTCAGGGTGCTTGAATTCTAATCCTGGCTTTGAGGCTTCCCCCTCATTGTGGGACCATTCCAATCTTCTTACCTCCTTTCTACTGAGGGACCTTTCAAAGGTAAGGAAACTGAGGCAGGGAGGCCTCTTAAACATCTTTCTTCACTATCCAGGCCTGAGGGGCGGGGCGGGACGGGGCGGGGCAGACTGTGGCCTCCGCGCTCTATGTCCAGTGCTGGCTCAGTTGAGTCACCAAGTGCCTGGGAGCGCCCACCACAGGTGGCTAAGGGTGCAGCCGTGTGCCCCACCCGCTCCCCCGGCCTTCCCGCCCACTCGTCCCGCGGCTGCACCTGGACACTCCTGACCCGCGTGGGCCGCAGCCGATGGGCTGTCAGGAATTGGAATCCGGGTTCCACCACACTTACTGCGCTCTACGCTGCTCCGCGCCAGTGCCAACCGCAAACTCAAAGCCAGGCTGAGCGCAGTCCAGAAGAGCATCGTGCATGGAGTGGCGGGCTCTTGACCGCAGCTGGCAGCTAACTTGCCCTCCTACCGTGAGGCAGGCCCACCCACCTCTGAGAAGCCACACCCACTTTCGTGGCCACGCCCCTGGTTGGGAGGTGCGTGCACTCTGTCGCGCGCTCAAAGGCCAATCTGCACGGACTGCATAGCGATGCGCGTCTCAGCGGTCCCAGACTTGCGATGACACGCAACAGCCACAAAAGCACATACATGTGGGCATGCGCTGACATTCTCATCTCTCTTTTGCAGGCTGTGATAATGTGTCGTCTATATTCTTCACCTCTCTCTCTAAGACAGCCTTAGAAGTGGGGCTATACAAAGAAGCAACTTTCCTTCAACAAGGACCCAGCTTGACTACAAGCTGGAGGAGCAGCAGGTTTTCTCTGATGACTGACCAGTGAGGACACTGTCTTTAGAAGAGACAAGATCATATAAGAAACTTCTTACAGAATGGAAAGCCCCGCCTTTCCAGCACTCTCACCCGAATTCTTGGAGGAAAAGACATGAGGGGAAGCCAGGCAGTCAGAAGCTATTCTGTGTGACCATGGTGACCTATTGCTTTCCTATACACTACCCAAATGGGGTCCCAGGGCTACGCCCAGGTCAGACCTCAGCAGGACCAGAGACCCACTGATGATCCAGAGCTGGCTCCTGCAGTCAAAGCCAAACCCAGACTAAAGGACACTGAGCCCTTCAAGAGGGCTGCAAGACTGATGCCCTCCTAAGACGCTTTCCTGTGGAGTAACTATAGTGTTCAGGGTGGAGGCACACATGGGGGGGGGGGTTGTCTGGCAGGATGTCCCCTCCCTTCCCACTCTTGGCAAGAGGATGCTCAGCAGGGAGGACGGATGGGACTCAATGGTTTTCCTTCCTCCATTTCTGGCAGGTGAGACACTGTGGGGCCTTGAGGACTGTGCCTGAGTTTGGCTTTGCCTAAAAAAGGAAGCAATGCGGCTGAGCCTGAGAAGCTTGCTGCAGGAACAAGTAAGAGCTATGTACTGCTGCCCGTCCCCCACCCCCTTGCCGGGAATCTTGGCAGTGGGTGTTGGCTTCACTCCACAGACCTCAGGCCTCTGAATGGACTAGAAAGTGCTTGATGCTTCTGCCTGAGTCTTGAGGATGGGAACAGTGTGTGTGAGTCCCTCAAAGAGTGTGCCTCCCTCCAGCTCCCAATACACAAGGTTGTTGTGGAGATGGCATTGGGAACAAGCAGACGACAGGGGGCAGGGGTCTGGAGGTGGAAGGTGTCCAGCAGAACCATTTTATCTCAGGCTTGCACTGCCAGGGAGCTAGGTCTTGTAGGAAGCAGAGGTTCGTAGCCCTCAGGCCTATAGTCACACCTCAGCCTGCCCTCTTTCCATCCCTTCTGGAAAAAGTGAGCAGATCTTCTTGGCTGTGACTCAGGCCCTTGAGGAAGCAGCTGCCCTCCTTCCTCTGGCCTCATCATCAGACAGAGAGGGCACAAGAGACCCAGTCTTCACCCAGCCCTGTCCAATTTGGGCTACCTGCCTGAATTGAGCTCAGGCCGAATTGCTCCTGCTGCCAAATTCCTTGGGACACCCTTCCCATCATCCTACCCCCTGATCAGCCACCAGAAAAATCTTATCCTTTTGTCTTGTAGTGCTTCCCACTTCCAAAAGACACCCAGACGTCCTAGGGGGATGGACACCAAAAGAAGAACAAACAGAATAGTCCAGAAGCCTTTTCTCTAAAGGGAGATAGGTTTAGGGAAGGAGAAAGGGCAGAAATGTGGTCATAGGCAAAGATAGCCCAGGCCAGGGTGACCTTGACCCCTCAGTCTTCAGTCTCCAGGAACTGCCCCTGACTGTTCCAGTCAACCTAGGAGCCCCAAAGGAAAGACAGCCCTTGATGCTAAGTCTATCCTGCCACAATGGCTTTGGCTCAGAACAGGGAGTCACTGTGTCTTACTTCCTGGAGCAGCTGGCCTGCCCTGTCTGTCTGCAGGCAGGTGGAGGGGTTTCCTGAAACCTAGAGGCACTGCTCTTAGCAGAGTGCCCCTGCTTTCAACCAAGGACCCTAGGGAATGTTCCTTTCCTCCCACAGTCAGGCTTCTGCGGAGAAGAAGGGCCTTTTGTCCACAGATGGCTGTGGTCATGTTCAACCCCGGGGAAAGGGCAGCTCCTGGGGCCTCTGACCTGACCCTTGACCCCACACAAGGACAGAGACGCCTGCCCTGCCCCTGCCTCTCCACCCGAACTGAGCTGCTGCAGTTTGTCATGTTGTTGTTGTTCACGGAGGAACACTGCTGGCTTGCTCACTGACTCATGCTTAGCTGGCTTCCTTATAGCCTCGGATCACTTGCTCAGGTAATGGTACAGCCCATAGTGCATAGTGCTCTGGGTCCTCCTACAACAATTAACACACACACACACACACACACACACACACACACACACACACACACACACAAATCCCCCACAGACCAATTTGATCTGAGGATCCCTCTATTGAAATTTCCTTTTCAGATGATTCTGGGCTGTATCAAGTTAGAGCTAACTAGGATGAGTGCCAAGGGCGAAACTTCTCCCACTTCCACCAGGCTGAAATGCTCTGAAATGTCATTTTTCTTTCTTTCTTTTTTTTGTGGGATTTTTCGAGACAGGGTTTCTTTGTGTAGCCCTGGCTGTCCTGGAACTGGCTTTGTAGACCAGGCTGGCCTTGAACTCAGAGACCCACCTGCCTCTGCCTCCCAAGTGCTGGGGTTAAAGGCGTGCTCCACCATTGTCCCACTTGTCATGTAATTTGTATCTAACATGAAAACCCAAGCACACATCGGAACACAGAAAAAAGAAATGGTGGGAGCAGCTGTTGGAGGTCTGGGGCAGTGGAATAGGGTGAGCCTGGACCCTATGACCCATCTCACAGCAGCAGTCAAGGAGCAGCCAAGAAGGACTCTCAGCTCCTTCCTGCTATCTATTATACTTTCTTCTAGACCAGCTTTGGTAGGTCAAGTTCCAGAGCCTGAGGATTTGGTCTGAAGATCTAGGGTCCTTTTTCACCCTCAGGGACCAGGGCTGACCCCAATCTGCTTTCCTTGCAGCTAGAGTGGCAGGGAAGACAAACGGCTTGGTGAGTAGCCTGAGCATAGGATGAATTCAACCACCCCCTTTATTTACCCAGTCCATCACCCCAGTCTCTGTACTGAGGACACAAGGCACTGGGCCAAACCCTGTCCTCCCAGTACTGCCAAATGAGGACTGAGCAGGAAAGCTCCGTGCTAGCAGAGATGCTAGGTGTTATGATTCAAATCTGAAATGATCCTCAGACTCATGCTTTCAACACTCGTTCCCTAGTTAGTGGTATTTTGTTGGGAGTCCATGAAACTTTAGGAGTCTGTGAGCCTTCAGGAGGGTGTGCCTAACTAAGGACAGGTTTTTGAGGGTTAAAGGCCAGCTACTGGCTCATGTTGCTGCTCGCTGCTTCCTTGTCTGCTGTGATTTGAAGAACCTTCCATTGTTATGGTCTGAGCTGCTCTACCAAGCCTTCCCCACCAAGAAACATCTTGAGACCTTGAGCTAAGGCAAATCTTAAGTTGTTCCTATCAGCTGTACTATTGTGGTCACAGCTACACAAAAGTAACTAATACACAGGGCTACTTGTTTTCCCTGAAAAAGGTGTAATTGTGTGAGATCAGGGAATCAATGGGGACCCTGTGGCAGGAGCTACAAGAAGGATAAACTTAACAAGCAGAGGCAACAGCATGTGCCAAGACCTGGATGGCTGTGGGGAAGAGTACATGTCCGTGGCAGGATGCTCAGGCTAGGACAAAGGAAGCAAGTCAGGCTATGTGGCCTTCAGACCATGGGGAGGATGATGGGATTCTGAGTATTAGGAGAAGATTGGAGGGTGTAGGGGTGAGGCAAGGACAGCTGACTCCATGCTTCTAGAAAAACAGCCATCAGAGATAGACATATGCCATTAGCTGAACAGTAATGCTCCATCTTGACATGAGACCCTTGACAGCTTTGGGTCCTGGCTGGAATGCTTCTGTAAGAAGTCACCCAAGGTTCCTGCCCCATCCCAAGGAAGGTCCAAGTAGTCTTGAAAGGGAGTCTTCCAGCAGTGTGGACCTAAGAGAAGCAGGAGGAGTAGCCTCAGCTCTCAGGGCCAGCACCAGCTCTGCCTGTTCCTATTTGGCAACCTCCAACTCCCGGCTCAGTTCCTGCCTCTACCAAAGCCAACCCACATGCCTGGGAGGAGAGCAAGGCTAGAGCTTAAGCCCAGACCTGAAGCTGGATGGACAAAACTGGCTAAACCCAGGGCCCCTCTTGGCTGGCACTGTCTGAGGGTGTGTCTGCAAATACTTTGTGAATGAATACATAGTTTAAGTAAAGTGGGAATCTCACTGAGCCCAGTCTCTTCACCTGTGGTGATGCCCCCACCCAAAGCATAAGAGGAGTATAGACAGGACACAGCCATACATGTGTGCATACCCTAACCAGGCTCCCTTTTATAAGGCAGGCCCTCAGTTACTGGGAAAGGAGCATCCCCTACGTGGAGGTCTTGGCTAGCTCACCATGAAGTTTAACTTTGTAGCCCTGAGGAAGTGGAGGGGAGGCGGGAGATAGAGACCCTTAGAAGAATGAGGCTTCTCTGGACTTTCAAGCTAGAGTCTAGACATGAAGATCCTAGGTAAGGTTTCTGTCTTGAGCTCATGCTAGGCAAGAGCCGGGAGACAGACACTTGTGGGGCCCAGACAGAGTACTGCCAAGGCAGGAGACAGTAGGCTAGGCAAAGGCCAGTGATTACCTCAGGGAATGGGAAGCAGACATTATGACTGAAGAACCAGCCTCACTCTTCCCTTTAGTCCAAAAGCCCCTTTCCAGGACCTGTCCATATGGTGGTGGAGACGGAAGGTGCCCTTAGGGCCAGGAAGGAGCAATGACCCCAGATCTATCTGTACCTGTGGTGAGCTAGCTCATTTCTTCAGTACCCAGGCTCTACTTCTCTACTAGCGGGCATAGCTGTGTTCTTCACAGCTAAATACAGACCCTAGACCTCTTCCACAAACCTCCTACAGTCTCCACAGTCACTTTCTTTTTCTTTCTTTCTTTTTTCTTTTTTTTTGTATGTGATGCTGTGAATGGAATCTAGGTCATCTCTCTGCCTGACACAAACACCAGGCTATACCCTGCTATTCCCAACTCCATTCACAGCACAATAATGTTTTGTTTTTTGACAGAGTCTTATTTTATAGCCCAGGCTGGCCTCAAACTCACAGCAATTCTTCTGCCTCAGCCTCCCTAGTGCTGAGATTGCAATCATAAACCATCATGCCCTGCAACTGAGTTCCTTTGGAAACATGCCAAGAAAAATAAAATATAATAAATAAGAAGAAAATCTGAAAGATTGGGCTAAAGTAGGTCATCCCACTACCCTCCCTTGGACTTTCCCAGGGCCACCTGGAGGACACCCAAGGCTTCAAGATGGACTTGGGAAGCTGGGAAACACCTTTCAGAAACAGAATGTCTCAGACAGCTGCTATGACAGAGTTCCTCACCCAGCTAGCAGCCACTTAAGCTTAGGAGTTGATCTTTACAGTCACCTCCCAACCCCCACCAGGCCCAGCTGTTGTTTTGACGACTTTGGGGCCAGGCAGATCCAATCCTCAGCCAAGGGCTTCCCAGGAGAGTCTTCATCTTCAACCTCTGGGGGTGGCCAGACTAGCTCCTGGCAGAAGGAGAAGGAAGGAGCCTTATTCCGGAGGAAGCACTCCTGGGCAGCTTGGAAACCAGCTGACTCCGTCACTCTGTCTCATCAGGAAAGAAATCAAAGCTGGACACAGATGAAGGTTGGAAAACCCCAAGACACCCAACAGACCTGAGCTAGCCGCACACTGGGCTATGCTTGAGGCCACAAAATTAGCTCAATCCTAGTCATAGGCTGAGCTCTGACCGTGCTGGTTACAGGCTAAGCCACACTGGCAAAACAGTGTGCTAGATCCTTTAAAGATCTGGGCATGGTAGCATATTCCTGTAATTCCAGTACATGGGAGGCTAAGGCAGGAGGATCATGAGTTCTAGACTAACCTGGATTACATAGATTCATAAAAGTTAAAATAAAAAAAAGTCTGTTACAACTAGATTCCAGGTGAATTATAATGAGCATATTTTTAATGTATTGCTGGGCTTACAAGAACATATATATCTCAAAAGCCACCTCCCAAAATTAAACATTACAAAAACCCAAACCAATGTACCAGCGAGATGGTTCAGGGGGTTAAAGTGCTTGCTACCAACTTTGACAACCTGAGCTCCTTCCTTGGAACCCCCAACTCCTAAGAGTTATCCTCTGATTTACACAGACACATTGTTAAATATGCACTCCCATACATGTACACACACACACACACACACACACACACACACACACACACACACACACGTACTAAGCTGGCCAGTGGTGGCACACACCTTTAATCCTATTACTCAGGAGGCAGAGGCCGGCAGATCTCTGAGTTCAAGACCAGCCTGATTTACAAAATGAGTTCCAGGACAGCCAGGGTTACACAGAGAAACCATGTCTTGGAAAAAAACAAAACAAAACAAAAAATCAGTAACACAAACAGTAAGAAGCAACCAGGATATTGAAGGGAACAGATAGAAAAGTGAATTTTCTGCTGGGCGGTGGTGGTGCACGCCTTTAATCCCAGCACTCGGGAGGCAGAGCCAGGCGGATCTCCGTGAGTTCGAGGCCGGCCTGGGCTACCAAGTGAGTTCCAGGAAAGGCGCAAAGCTACACAGAGAAACCCTGTCTCGAAAAACCAAAAAAAAAAGTGAATTTTCTGAACATAGAGACAGAGAGAAATCCTGAGTTCTAGGGGGAAAGGTGAGTGAGTACTCTATATCAAAGATTATGAAACTAGTACCCTAAAAGGGGCCTAGGTTAACTGTTTTCTTTGTCTCTGGTAGAAACTATCCTAAGACAGTGTCTGGCTTAGGTTTCTATTGCTGTGATAAAACATTACAACCAAAAGCAACTTGGGGGGAAAAAGGGTTTATTTCATTTTATAATTCTCAGGTCACATTTCATCAATGAATGAAATCAAGACAGGACCTGGAGGCAGGAACTGAAGCAAAGGCTATAGAAGAGTACTGCTTATTGGATTATTCCTCATGGCTTGCTTAGACTGCTTCCTTTCTTTCTTTCTTTTTTATTTTCAAGACAGGGTTTCTCTGTGTAGCCTTGGCTGTCCTGGAACTTGACACTCTGTAGACCAGGCTGGCCTTGAACACACAGAGATCTGTCTGCCTCTGCTTCCCAAGTGTTGGGATTAAAGGCATGCACCATCACTGTCTGGCTCAGTCTGCTTTCTTATACTACTCAGAACCACATGCCTAGGGTGACAGGCACCATTGTAGATGATCTTGACCCTCCTACATCAATTATTTTTATTTATTGATTGATTTATTTTTGGTTTTTTGAGACAGGGTTTCTCCTTGTAGTTTTGGTGCCTGTCCCGTCCTGGATCTCGCTCTGTAGACCAGGCTGGCCTCGAACTCACAGAGATCCGCCTGGCTCTGCCTCCCGAGTGCTGGGATTAAAGGCGTGCGCCACCACCGCCCGGCCCACATCAATTATTAATCAAGAAAATGCTCCACAGTCTAGCCCACAGGCCAATCTGGTGGCATTTTCTCAGTTGAGATTCACTCTTCTCAAAAGACTCTGGCTTGAATCAAATTGACAAAAAACTAACCAGGGCAGTTCCTTACAATCATCACAGATATGGGTTGGCATTATAAATTACCAGGACTTTGAGGAAAGGAACTTGGAGGGCTCATTCTGTGGTATAATAAATGATAGAATTCCTGTTTAAAATGCTCAAGGCCTAGCCTGGTATGGTGGCACACATCTTTAATCCCAGTACTTGGGAGGCAGATCCCTAAACTCAAGGCTAGCCTGGTCCACACATGTAAAATTTAAAAAATAAATCTGTGGGCCGAAGTCAGCCATGCCACCCATGCCACCTAGGCACTCTGGGAAGCACAAAGACAACACCACAGCCCTGAGCCCAGCTGGGAGCTATGGGAAGTGATAAGCAAATGGTGGAGTGATGGGAGAGAAGCAAGAAATATGTGGTGGAAAAATGGAAGATAAGCAGTTTGTGCTCTATGAAGTGTGGCAAAACTGGAGACGCAAAGGTGCTTGTTCTTGCTCCTCGGGAAAGGTGAATTGCACTGCCCATCAATTGAGCCAGTAACAAACCCAGGTGCTAGTGAGTCTGTGCCTTCTTCCTTTGAGAAAACTGACCACTGTACAAGTTGCTGTGATTCCCAGAGCTGCATCCTAGCCCAGGAGAAGAGCAGCACCTGCAGAATGGAGACCCACAGCTGACTGGATTTGTCCTGCTGTATTTACTTCTCATCATTGGCCTATTTGTTAATCTCTCGAGCTGGTTGTGGTGGCGGTTCAGCCACGAGATTGAACAACTCTATGTTGAACTACAGTTTTACCGTGCTGTGTCTAACTGGCCAGAAATTTATTTCCTTTGGAAGCTTTGGGTTGGACAACACTTGAAGACACCCAGAGGCCCTGCCTGCTGCCATGCAGTGGGCAAAAAGAAGACACCTAGAGACCCTGCCCAACACATGGCCCGCCCACAGCACAAGCCACTATGATGTGCACGTATGGGGCAGAGAGATGAGAAAGAAAGAGAAGAATGGTTTGAACACTATGATGAGAGGTGGATCTGAAGAAGGTGGAGAGAAACAGCCTGATGTGAGTAGCCTGTGAAGCCACCTGAGACCATGGTGAAATCCCAGCTCATGCTGCCGCTGAGGGCCATGTCTGGGTCCATGACCATGCAGCAGGAGAGGTCTGTGTAGATGTCCATGGCCCATGTCACCACCAAAGGCCTTGTGTATGTCCCTGGTCTGGACTGCCCCCTGGGATCATATTAATATCCAAAAGCTGCACAGAGTTGGCCTCGCCCCTCACTGGCAGCAGCACTAGGGAGAGCGGTCCCTGTACCTCACCTTGGCAGCACAGTAGAGCTGACCCTGATGGTGGGCCCCAAGGCCATGAGAGAAGGAGAGCTGGCCCTGCCCTTCATCTGCCATTTGGTGGCATGGGCAAGGGAGAGGTGTCCCCTAACCCTCACTGCCTGTGGCAGGTGGGAAAGCTGGCCCTGCCCCGCACTAGGGAGAGTGGGCTCTGCACCTTGCCTGCGCAGCACAGTAAAGCTGACACTGTTGTTGGGGGAGGGAGGGCATGAGAGTGAGAGAGCTGGCCTCACTGCCACCTCATCTGCATGAGAGAGGGAAAGATGCCCTTCCTCCAGCTCCCTACCCCTTGCCACCTGCGGCATGACAGCAGGAGAGCTGACTCTGCCCCTCACCAGCTGCAGCACTCAGGAGGGTGGGCTCTGCAACTCACCTGGGCAACACAGTAGAACTGGCTCTGGTGGTGTGGGTGTGAGTAGGCCGGCCCTAAGGGCCTGAGAGCAGGGGAACTGCCCCTGCCCCTGCTGCCTGCAGCATTGGGTGAGCTAGCTGGGGCAGTACTGAAGAGCATGACCTGGTGGTGAGAATGAGGGAGAGCTGGCAGGCTGACCAATCCGGCTACTACCCAGATCCAGAACCAGGGCTATGAGTTGGCCCACCCCCACATCCACCCCTTCTATGAACTGCTGGAGCACGTGAAGGAGCTTGTCCTGCAGACCCAAAGCTGCAGGATCTCCACGACACAGGCAACAACAGGACATCCCAGAGGAGTCCCAGTGTGGACCCAGTATTAACAGTGTAGCAGAAGCCAGAGGCCTCGAACTAGACCAGTGACTCATTGCAATGAACACTTGCAAGCAAAGATATATGGACTTAAAGGGCACACTGTGTGACTCACTGTGACACACTACAGCTTCCATGACGAGTTGGGTTTTTTTCTTTTATATTTTATTTTATTGGGGGGGGTTTGTAAGGGTAGGGGGTGGATACGAAGGGATGGGGAAATGAATGCAATTGGGGTGCGTGATGTGAAATCCACAAAGAATCAATAAAAAGTTAAAAAATAATCATAGTAAATCTTTGCTGCGCAGTGGTGGCACACATCTTTAATCCCAGCACTTGGGAGTCAGAGGCAGGTGGATCTCTGAGTTCGAGGACAACCTGGTCTACAGATCTAGTTCCAGGACAACCAGAAAGAAACCCTGTCTAGAAAACAAAATAAAATAAAACAAAAAAAAATATTAGCTGGGTGTGGTGGTGCACGCCTTTAATTGCAGCACTCAGGAGGCACAGGCAGGCAGATCTCTCAGTTTGAGGCTAGCCTGGACTACAGAGTGAGTTCCAGGACAGCCAGGGCTACACAGAAAAATCCTGTCTCAAACAAACAAACAAAAATTTAAAAACATATCCAGAGCTGAGGATATAGATCAGTGGTAGAGTAATTGCCTAACATGTATAAGGCTTGGAATTCCATCTCAGGACTACTAAAAAAATTAAAATAAGATATTCTAGTTCTAGTATGATGAGAACCTGGAAGGAGGAGGAAGAAGGAGAGCAGGAGGGGGAAGAGGAGGAGGATAATTTATCCATACATAGGAACTTGTGAGTAAAGCTGTAGCCTGCCAAATGCAAAATCTTAAAATTACCCACACTGTAAAATTGAGCTTTTACCCTGTTGCCTGTCTCAAAAGAAAAGAACCTTGGTCAGAGGTTGAACTCCAGTTCTGGATACACATTGGTACCTGACCCCGAAAACAAACTGAGTCTTGGGGGGCTAAGAGCACTGTCTGTTCTTCCAGAGGAGGCGTGTTCAATTTCTAGTACCCATACTGCAGCTCACACCTGTCTGTAACTTCAGTTCCAGGGCTTGGGGACACCCTTACACAGATATACTCGCAGTCAAAAAACCAATCAACATAAAATAACGTATATATTAAAAAACAAACAAAAACAAGCAGATTGCTGACCCTGGGCTTACGCTGAGCCACTAATCCTAGATCCTAGTCTCATCTGAAACCTGACCTGGTAATATTTTGACCATGGACCCAATTGAGCCTTGTCCTCAAGCTGAGTCTCAAGATAAGTCATGAAGTCCGGTTGCTACTGGTCACACTGGAGCTTCTAGAACTAGCACTGTTTTGGGGGACACAGATATCCGCAAAGCTGGCTGCTGACCACAGGAGGGAATGGAGGGCATTCGCTTTGTGAGGGAGCAGAGCCCAGGGCACCTTCTCAGAGGACCACCTCCGGCCTCTGAGAAGCGCCAACCTGGTCTAAGGGCCCCGGTTGCCATCTCCTGGCAACTTCGAGCACTGCGCTCAGAGCCCAGAGGCAGCCGCTCCACCCGTCCACTTTTTGGGGGTCAAGGCGGGGCTCTCGACACCGAGACGCCTCTGAGGGATCAGACCCAGGCACAGAGTTGTTTCTCTTCGTCAGGGCGGTCGCCCGCCAGACCCTCTTCGCTGCATCTCGGTGGTTCATGGGCCCTGGCGGGGGTAGGCAGCACAGGGCGTAGTCGCCGGGCCAGGAGCGAGCGGGCGGCGGAGGCGAGCACCAGAAGCGGCGGCAGGGAGAGGAATCCCAGCACGATGAGCGCTGCAGAGCCGCGGTCTGAGAGGAGCGCTCGGCACCGTGGCCCCGGGGCTGGATGAACCTGTGGACAGCAGAGGCGTGTGGCCGCGCCGGGAAGCACCAGAGTGGTGCAGTCGTGCGGAAGGACCTGGGCCCGAGTCCTGGAGAACCCAGCCGGGCCTAGAGACTAGGACAGAGTCCCGAGACAGAAGGGGCGGGGCTGGAAGGCCTTGAGGTGGGCCTGGAGAGCGAAGTGGGGCCCTGTGGAACAGAAATTGTGAGAACACAACCAAGAGAGTTAGCTTGAGTTGTGGCTGTTCTGGGCCAAGCAGTGTTGAAGCTTGTTTGGGAGATCTGGTACTCAGACTATAAGTGGCCCAGGTAGGGGTTCCTTAAAGGAAAGACTCAGAGAATTTTCCTGGCTCTCCCAACCCGCTTTTCCCTATCTGTGCTCTTTCCCATGGCCCTTACCTGTGCTGACAGCTGATAGTGAGCTCCAGCTGTATGTCACCAGCTAGCATCATTTCTCTCCCGCACCAGAAGCCACAGATAGAAATATAGGGACCATCCATATATTATAGATCAAGCCATAGCCCCCTCTACAGGTGGGGAAGCCCAGCCCAGGTCAAGAACGTTTGGGGAAGGGCTGTATGTGTGTGGGTGTGAGGAGTGGAGAGCACTCAGTACAGGTGAAGTTTATTTTCCCATCTCCACTTCAGCCTCACTGACCAGGCCTGGTGCCTCCTGGTACAAAGCTAAGAGGACTGGGGGAGGCAAGACAGCTGTTCCCTGAGTAACAAACAAAAGCTTTTCTTTGTCTGCAGCTGGTAGGGATGTTGGCAGAACAGGAGGTTACAGAAGAGGCCACGTATGTTCTGCATACAAAGGGGCAAGGCTGGAAGGGGGCAGATACACCTTTAATCCCAGGGACTTGAACCTCCACAGGACTCCCACTCCCCAAGAACTAACCAATGCTGCTCACCCTTGAGTGGCACAGGAATCCCAGGTAGACAATGGCAGCTGCTGGCAGCAACACCAGCAGGAAGACTGTCCCAGGTAGCAGCAGATGGAACAGGAACCCAACCAGAGCCTGGCCAGGCAGCAACAGGGTCCTGAGGCCTTGGGTGGCCAGGACAGGCCACCCTGGGCATACCAGGATTGAGATATGGTAGTCAGTAGACCTTCTTCGGGGTAGCATGGGTGCTGTGTCTGAAGTACCTCCTTCATCCTCTTCTGTCTCCCTTTCCTGCTGCTCACTCATGTCCTAGCAGTGGTCCTTGAAGAATGTTTTCCCTAAGATAGGTAGGTAGTAGGCAGTAGGACTAGCCCCCACCCCCAGGCCCAGAATAGAGATCCTTTACCCTCCCCAGGTTCAGTTCGTATCTAGATCCTGGTCACCAGATAGTAGACTGTTGTCCAGTTTAGTCTAACACTGAGTATCAGTCTCCAGGGCTACACCCCTCCCTCAGTTTCCCCACTACCTCGCTGGACCTCTTTGCCAGGCAAATGCGGGCAGCTCCTGTGTGCTCTGGTTAGGTCTCACACAGCTATCCCTGTCTGAGCACTATGGCCCTCCTTCCTCCCAGCCCGCCCTTTCCCAGCTTCCAGTTCTCCCACACAATAGCTTCATTTCACAGGCCTTGGCTATGACGGATCCCCTATCAATAGCTGCCATCCAGGGACAAACCATCAACTCTGTCCCAGCCCTGCCCTTGCATTTCCCCTTATCTAATAACTAGGCCCCGCTTTGGTGTCAGTATAAGATGAACACCAGGTGACTTCATGTTGTGGAGTGGTTAAGAGAATGGCATAGAGTTGTACAGTTAGTACTTACTGTAGTACCTGGCAGATAGTAGATACCCAATAAACAGCAGCTGCAATTACTCTGTACCGAATCTAATCCATCATGGAAGTATACAACAGGCTTTTCAGATGATGGGAGCATATAATCCACTGAAAACGCCAGCCATTTACCCCCAATATTACTAAAATGCCTTCATACTGGAAGTATACAATATACAGTATTTAAACCTTATTTACATAAGCTATTGACACTTAATGAGTAGATTATGAGCTAATGTTTTCCCTTCTGTGCCGTTTCCTCCAGAGGACTTTGTCATTTCCAATTTTCCTTTTAACATCTTCCAATCCTGGACAGCTTTCCAGGTGGCATGTGATGTGCTCCATGAAAGACAACTTGCTTTCACTGGCATGTCTGGCATAGCTAGATGTGATGCCGGGCAGTGGTGGCGCATGCCTTTAATCCCAGCACTCGGGATGCAGAGACAGGCAGATCTCTGTGAGTTCAAGGCCAGTCTGGTCTACAGAGAGAGATCCAGGACAGCTAGGACTGTTACACAGAGAAACCCTGTCTTGAAAAGCAGAAAAAAACAAAACAAAACAAAACAAGTCAGGTGCTGATAGCTCAGAGGTTCAGAGAGTACATATTGTCCTTATAGAAAGACCTATGTTCTATCCCAGCTCTCACTTCAGGCAGGTCACAATCATCTATAACTCCAGCTCTATGAGGATCTGATGCCTCTGATTTCCACAGGCATCTGCCCACATATTCATATGTCTACACACACACACACACACACACACACACACACACACACACACACACAACTAAAATAATAAAAATAAATTTTTTTTTAAGTGTTGCAGGGGCTGGAGAGTTGGCTCAGTGGTTAAGTACTTGCTGTTCTTGCAGATGACCCAGGTTCCATTCCCAGGGTTCACATTTTGACTCACAAATTTCTATTAACTGCAGTTCCAAAGGGTCTGGTGCCCTTTTCTGGCCTCCATAGGCACCAGGCAGGGATATAGTACACATACATACATTTGGGCAAAATGTTCATACCCATAAAGTAAAATAAATACATCCAAAAAATTTTAAGTGTTGTAAATCATCTCCTTACTGAGCCCACACTCTTGTAATTTAAAAAAATATTTATTTTATTATATATTTTTGTTTATTTATTTCAGCCTTGGCCTCACTATATAGCCCTTGCTGGCTAGCCAAGAACTCAATATGTGGGCCAGGATGGCCTTGAACTCACATAGATACACCCACCTCTGCCTCCTAAGTGCTGAGATTAAAAGTAGATGGGCATAGTGGCGCACATCTTTAATCCCAGCACTCGGAGCCAGAGGCAGGAGGATGTCTGAGTTCGAGGCCAGCTTGGTCTACAAAGCAAGTTCCAGGGCCAGGGATACACAGAGAAAGCCTGTATTGAAAACAACAACCAAAAAAGTATGCATCATCATGTCTGATTGATATTTTATTTTAAATGTTTCAATGACTTATTTATTTTATACAGGTGAGTATTTTGGCTCCATGGATGTATGTACGTCATGTACATGCCTGGTGCTCACAGAAGAGGGTATCAGATCCCCTGGAACTGGAGTTATGAATGGGTTCTGAGCCACCATGTAGGTTCTAGGAATCTAACTCTGGTCCTCTATAAGAGCAACAAGTGTTCTTAACTGCTGAGCCATCTCTCTAGCCCCTGATATTTTAATTTTTTGATTATGTGTATGTGTCTATATGTGGGTATGTCCACATGAGTGCAGGTGTCCTCAGAGGCCAGGGAGTCAGATTTGGACCTGGTGGTGCACACCTTTAATCCCAGTGCTTGGGAGACAGAGGCAGGCAGATCTTTATGAATTCAATGTCAGTTTGGTTTACATAGTGAATTCTAGGCTAGCTAAGGCTATGTAGTAAGATACATACTGGGACCTTGCCCTCTCTGATGCAGGCTCAGAGTCAAGTATCCACATGAAGGCCTTGTTCCTGCAGGGCCCCCTTTCTACCTCTAAGCATAAATACTTAACATCTCCTGTTCCAGAAATATCATTGCTTGCTTACACCCCTTCCCACCCAGACGTCTCTTCCCTCTCATGGTCTGCACCAGCTTTGTCTTAGCCTCTTCTCCAGGAGCTTCCAATCCCACTGTTCAGATATCCATGGTGAACCTTTTTCTCTTTCAAAGCATCTTATTAGGAAAAAGGATAGAACCTTACTGTATCCACTCCCCAACCTGAAACTAGGAGAGGTGGTTCCAGCTCCAGGTTAGGGTGGGGCAGGTAGGTCTCAGGTTGCCTGGGGGCAAGTCAGAACATATTGAAGTTTGTGTTACTTGGAGGAAGGTAGGAAGGAGGTGCTGTCATCCAGGGCATGTTCCTGCTTGCCCTTCCCAACCTGTCCTGGCCTTTGTTCCTGGGAGTGTGGCCAAGAGCTTTAGTGGCCTGCTAGGGGGCAAGGGCAGGCAGAGACTCCCTTCAAATTACTAGATAAACAGTGTCAGGTAGCCTCAGCACAGCCCATAAGGAAGCAGCAGCCCTTTGCCCATCCTCGACTTCCAGCCTAGCCTCCCAGGAGTAGCATCCACCTCTCAAACTGCAGGAAAAAAAAATTTTGAGGAGGGTCACCAGATTGAGGCTAGTTTAGAAATAGGATAGAGAGAACCCTCAGCCAGAAGACGGAGCTCCTGTGCCAGTTCCCTCTGGAGGTAATTAGGAGCCAAGGCCCTTCAGAAGGTTAAGTGGTATCTGAGTTCCCCTGGTGGGGTGGTGATATGGTGACATGGAACAGGTAGGATGAACCAGCCTCAGGGTAGATGTTCTCCCCAGATGGGTTCCAGCAGGTTGGAGCAGGAACTGCAGTGGATGGAGCTGGTCTGGGAGGAGGCTCCAGCAGACAAGACAGAGGGACCTCTTACCTCTCAGGTCTGGAGTACTCTGTTCCAGGCAGTGTGGTGGGGTGCTCCCAGCCTGGTGATGCAGCTGCTGAGGCAAGGTGCCAGTGTGGAGGAGAGGTAAGTCTCATGACTAGATCCAGACTCTCTCTGGCTGGGGCTGAACGTCTAGGCAGCACTCTGACTTCTTTTGCACCCCAAAGGGATCACACAGGTCGGACTCCGCTCCATCTGGCTGTGATGCGAGGCCACGCACCTCTTGTACGCCTACTGTTGCAGCGTGGGTCCCTGGCAGGCGCAGTTGACCACATAGGGCGCACACCGCTGCATGAGGCTGCCTGGCACGGGCACTCGAAAGTGGCGGAACTATTGCTGCGGCGTGGGGCCTCAGCAGTGGCATGCTCTCAAACGGGCCTCACGCCCCTGCACTGGGCAGCTGCGCTGGGCCGCACACTACTGGTTACATGCCTTATGGCTGCACCAGGTTCAGGTTCTGCTGTGAAAGACTTAAGAGGTTGGACAGCCACACACTGGGCAGCGGCGTGCGGGCAACTGCCGGTACTAGAGCTGCTGACTGTTGGAGGCAGCGTAGACCTGGACAGCGCCCTGCTGGTGTCAGCGGTAGCTGGAAGTGCATCAGCCTTGCAGCTTCTCCTGGCACTGGGAGCAAAGGTGGATGCCCTGGACAGCACAGGAACCACTGCACTTGGCCTGGCGGCTGGCCTAGGCCATCACCAAGTAGGTCCAGCCTTCACCTGCAATGACTGTGCTAGAAGCCCAAGGGCTTCGTCCTCTACACTTACTTCCATAAGCTCTGTGGGAGGAGAGGAACAAGGTAGAAAGATGCTGAAGCATAGGCTTGCAGGGTGGAGGGGTTGGAGTTCCCAGTTGGGCCCTCCTTATAAAACTTCCCTACTGAATGGTACCTGAGGAGGTCTCTCACGCCTGGCAATCCCACTTTTTTCTGGTGCTCCATAGCAATGGATTGGGTGAATAACTAGTTTTTCTGTGACAGCAACTCACTATGTAGCCTTGGCTGGCCTGAAGCTCTCTATGTAGACCAACTTGGTCTTGAACTCACATAGATCCTCCAGCCTCTGCTGGAGGTGCTGGGATTAAAGGTGTGGGCCACCATGCCTGGCAACAGGTATTTATTTAAGCATTTGGCTGGAGTTCAAGATCAGTGGGGTCCAGGAGGCACCAGGGGCAACAGCCTTTGCACGGTGTTGAATTTGATCCAAGAATTTGGGGCTGCCTCAGATTCTATCCCATTCATTCCTAACAGAAAAAAGAGTCTGTAGGGATTTTGTTCAGGCAAACGCCAGGCCCAGCTCCTCACCCCTCTGGACTAGGATAACAGGCTCTTTCTCTCTTCTTTCCTTCCTTTTCCAGGACGTTGAGATGCTGCTGGACCATGGGGCAGACCCAAATATCAGGGACAGGAACAACCTCTCTGCACTCCACAGGGCTGCCACCGGTGGATACCTGCCTGTTATACAGCTGCTGGTGGCCAAGGGCATTGAGGTAGATTCTCGAGACTCACTGGGCCTCACACCCCTGCACTATGCTGCTCGGGGAGGCCATGTAGAAGCTGTCAGTTATCTCCTGGACAGGGGTGCACAGGTCAATGCTGCTGGCTGGCTTCACAAGACCCCTCTGCACCTTGCTGTAGAGTGTGGCCGCAGTACCACCATAGAGCTTTTGCTGAGCCAAGGAGCCAACTCTACCTTGAGGACACAGTGGGGTGAAATGGCCCAGACCTTATAGGATGTCTTCCCCAGGCACTGCCCGATTTCCTTAACTAACCAAACTTCTTAGAAACTGCAGAAAGAAAAGAAAAGTAGAGTTGTACTTGTAACAAAATTAAGAGTTTAGAGTTATGGAGGATATCTTTTTGTTAAGATTTGTTCACAGGGCCAGGCGGTGGTGGAGCACACTTTTAATCCAAGCACTCAGGAGGAAGAGGTAGGTGGATCTCTGTGAGTTCAAGGCCAGCCTGGTTTACAGATCAAGTTCTAAGATGGCCAGGGCTGTTGCACAGACAAACCCTGTCTCAAACAAAATGAAACAAAATCACAACAACAACAAAAAGATTTGTTCACCAAGACTGCTACCCATTAGGTTATATTCACATATCAAAAGGACTGTAATTCTGCCAGGCAGGTAAGACATTCCTGGTTAACAACTACATAAAATAGAACAACACTGGCTTATTTCAAAATAACTGTTACAACAGTTTTGCTATGTAAATCTCCCATTTGTTCAAAATGGCCACACTTGCAGTTTCTGGTTCTGTTAAACAAGTTTAAAGCTCAAAGTATATCTTAATGCTAGAACCTAAATAAAATTTACAGATGACAGTGTATGTGAAATGTTATAGCTCAAAATCTACATAAGCTGCAAAGAATTTCTTCTCTTCAAGGGTGGTTTCTTTTTGGGTGTTAGCCAGGAATAATTATTAAAGGATTGTTTTTTTTCCTTATTATTCTCTGAATGTCTGGAATAAATTCATGTTTGTTGGTGGTGGTGTAGTTAACCTGCTGCTTCACTAGGAGCCACAGCCTCACTGCCCTGTGCTTCCTTCTGTGAGGATGAGCCTTTTTGGCCAAAACAAGACAAGAAGACTCCTGAATCCTCCTTCTAGGCAGAGACCACCTGTCTAGTCAGAGAGAAATCACCTGAGAATTCTTGGAGAAAGAAGATGCTGAGGTGATGGCCTGATCACTGTCCTCAGGAGTATAACTTCTCAGCTCTAGCTTCCTCCACATGCTGGTGAGGGTCGAGTCTTGGCAACAGATTTGATTAAACCCTCATGGTTTCTCTTTTGTCTGTTCAACATGGGGGCTCCCCTATCGATGAGTATAGGGGTCCAGCCCCTCGATAGTCCCCTCCCCGGGTCCGGGAAGGATCTACAACCAGCTGAAAATTAATCTTTGATGAAAAGAAATGAATCTATGTACATGAAACTCCTTAGTCCACACACTTTATTTTTCTGAGTCAGTTCTCTCTCCACACAGCTTCTATTCTGCTCTCATGTCTAGCTCCTTTCTTGCTTGATTTCTCCCTACATTAGTCTGTAATTTCTTTCTTTCTTTCTTTCTTTCTTTTTTTTTTTTTTTTTTTTTTTTTGGTTTTTCGAGACAGAGTTTCTCTGTGTAGCTTTGCACTTTTCCTGGAACTCATTCTGTAGCCCAGGCTGGCCTCAAACTCACAGAGATCCGCCTGGCTCTGCCTCCCAAGTGCTGGGATTAAAGGCATGCGCCACCACCTCCTGGCTCCCTTCTAAGTTCTATCTTAATTCTCTCGTCTTAATTCTGCCTCATCTAGGTCCTTTTCATCTTGTTCTTACCCAGCTTGTACTTCCCCATCTGACTCTTCCTCATCTTCCATCTCGTCCACACGTTCTCTCTGGTCAAAACCCTCCTTATCCCTCTCCGTTTTCCGTCTCTCTGTTCTCAACATTCCTCCTAAGTCTCCCAGGAGTCCAGTTATAAACCCAAGCAATAGCAAGCCCCTGGTCTAGCAAGGTCACCAGGCTAGAATTCTATGGGTCATAAAGGTAGGTTAGAATTTTCCTCAAGTAATGACCACCAGGCTTTCTTTTACAACCCAAAATGGGAGTAGTAAAAGAGGAGGTCAACTGAGTGCTAATGACCGGTTAGTATATCAAAAAGGGATCTATGTGCTCAGTCTACATTCCTAGAAGTGGTTAGGTAAGAAGTTAGGGGTCTATTAGTAAGGTTGTACAAGAAAGGAGGGTCTCACCCTAAATTGCACAAGAAATAGCCGGGCGGTGGTGGCGCACGCCTTTAATCCCAGCACTCGGGAGGCAGACCCAGGCGGATCTCTGTGAATTCGAGGCCAGCCTGGGCTACCAAGTGAGTTCCAGGAAAGGTGCAAAGCTACACAGAGAAACCCTGTCTCGAAACCCCCCCCCCCCCAAAAAAAAAAAGAAATAAAGCTATCCATCCTCCTGACCTAGGAGACAGGTGTCGTTTCGTTTGGCCTTGGATGCTTGATAGGCATTTTATATAAATACACTGTTAGGAGTTCTTGGAAGAACACAAGAAAATCATTTTAGGAACTTATATATATATAATTTATATATATATAATATATATATATAAGCTAAAATATTACCAAGATTTCTTAAGCCATGGCTTGACCTTTGGAGAAGTCCTTGACTTTTCCAAGTAGTAGCTTTTGTGATAGTAGCTGAATTCCATTACGTTTTCCTGAGGCTTGCAGCACTCCCCCTTACCTGCACTGTATGTGGGGGATGTTCTGTTTCTATTTGTCTTCATAGTAGTTTATTTTCTCATCTCTGTGATAAAATACTTAAAAGAAGAGGAGTTTGCTGTGGAAATTAGTGTATGGCAGTTTCTCAGAAAATTGGGAATCGATCTACCTCAAGACCCAGTCATACCACTTTTGGGCATATACCCAGGGAATGCTCAATCATACCACAAAGATACATGATCAACTATGTTCATAGCAGCATTATTCATAATAGCCAGGACCTGGAAACAACTTAGATGCCCGTCAACTGAAGAATGGATTAAGAAAATGTGGTACATATACACAATGGAGTACTACTCAGCAGAGAAAAACAATGACATCATGAAATTTGCAGGCAAATGGATGGAACTAGAAAATATCCTGAGTGAGGTAACCCAGACTCAGAAGGACAAACATAGTATGTACTCACTCAGAAGTGGATACTAGATGTAAAGCAAAGGACAATCAGACTGCAACCCACAGATCCAGAGAGGCTACCTAGCAGGGGGGACCCTAGGATGACTGTGGCTTATAATAAGTTTTGGTTTTGCCCAATCACTGGGCAAGCTTTAGTGTAACATTTCACTATTAAGATAAGAATTTGGGGGCTGGAGAGATGGCTCAGAGGTTAAGAGCACTGGCTGCTCTTCCAGAGGTTCTGAGTTCAATTCCCAGCAACCACATGGTGGCTCACAACCATCTGTAACGAGATCTGGTGCCCTCTTCTGGCCTGCAGGTATACATGCTGTATACATAATAAATAAATCTTTAAAAAAAAAAAAAAAAAAAAAAAAGATAAGAATTTGTACCATATCAAGTTGATGAAATAATATGCTGGCTGTACTTTCAGGAGGGGAAGCTAAACTATTTTTAGATTATGGATTAGCCTATAGAAAAATGTCTGCTGTAAATCAAACAGTGGAGGATGAATAGGAATCTCACTTACACAGACAGCTTAAGTAAAACACACCTCTCTGAACAGATGGAGATAGGTTTCTTCTATATCCCAGAATCTAATCAATATTTATATGTATAATTCAGCTATTATTTGGCGTAAAAGGGTTTATTGGGAAATGTTATCATTTTTATTAATTTCTACAGGGAAAATATCTTCCAGTTTCAAATAACTCTGGACTTTTGAATTATAACCTGTTTTTTTTCTACACACCTTATTTACTTTTATTTTATGTGCATTGGTGTTTTGCCTGCAGGTCAGATCTTTGAGATACAGACAGTTGTTAGCTGCCATGTGGGTGCTGGGATTTGAACCCCGGTCCTTTGGGAGAGCAGTTAATGCCCTTAACCACTGAGCCATCTTTCCAGCCCCCTATAACCTGTTTTTATGTGTAAGCTATCTGTGTATTATTTCTCCTGCAGTTGTACATAAAATGTTTTTACATTTAAAAAAGGACAAATACTATAGAATTGTATTACATGAAATATATAGAATATACAAATTCATAGAGACAGAAAGATTAGACATCTCAAGATGGAGGAAAAAGGAATATAGAGCAATGATTTCCTAAGTACAGAGTTTCTGTTTTGTGTGATGGAAGTTCCACAAACTGACAGTAGTATCAGGACATGATATCATGAATGTAATAAATCAATACAATTAATGTAATTAATGAATATCATAAATATAGTTATTGAATAAATACAGTGAATGTAATCAATGAATACCACAAATGTAATTAATATCATGAGTGTAATTAATGAATATCATGAGTGTAATTAATATCTTGAATGTAATTCATGCCACTGAATTGTGAACTTAAAAATGGTTACAATTACAAATATTATGTTCATAAAAAAACTAAGGTGGAATGTAATCACCATACATTATGTATATGTATGAAATTGAAGACAGCGATGTTCTAAAATAGAAAGTGGTGCTGGTGTCATGGGCTTATGAGGATGTTGGACTAAAGTCTATCAAATTGTGCAAACAGGCAAATTGTATACTATGTGAATTATTTGTCAATAAAGATTTCATAAAATGTTGGGGGCTGGAGAGATGGCTCAGTGGTTAAGAGCACTGGCTGGTATTCCAGAGGTCCTGAGTTCAATTCCCAGCAGCCACATGGTGGCTCACAACCATCTGTAATGAGATCTGGCAGGCAGAACACTGTATACGTAATAAGTAAATAAATCTTAAAAAAAAAAAAGATTTCATAAAATGTAAAAAAAAAAAATGCCCAAACAAAACAATATGAGACAAAAAAAAATCTCCCAAAATGCATTTGAATTTGTTTTCTATTGGCCATTTACTGCTGGGTATGGGGGCCTGCCCTTAAAGTGTGGTTTGTATAGAAGTGAGACTCCCTTGAAAAAATTAATTTTTCCTTTGGAAGCGGTTGTTAATTGGAGACAGCTTCTTGGTTGGGATGGGAGCTCATGTCTACTTCCCCATCTCAGCACTGAGATTTGACAGACATTTAGTTTTATTCATGCATGCATTTATTTTTATTTTTTTGAGATAAGCTCACTCTATGTAGCCCTAGATATCCTAGATCTTGATCTATAGACCAGGCTACAGGTCTCTGAGATCTGAGTATTTCTGCCTCCCAAGAGCTGGAATTAAAGGAGTATGCCACCATGCCTTTCACTATTTTTTAATTATTTATTTTGTATGTATTTTGCCTACATGTATGTGCTGTACCCAGAGTCCCCCAAAGACCACCAGATGCACCAATTGTATGTATGTGAACCACATGTGTGTCTGGTACCCAGGAAGTTAGGAGAGTGTGTTGAAGAACCTAGAACTGAAGTTACAGATGCTTGTAGGCTGACATGTGGGTGCTGGTAACTGAACATGAGTCCTTTGCATTAGCAACAAGTACCTTTAACCACTGAGCCCTCTCTCCTGCCCTCAGATATTTATTTTAAGAACCAGTGAGCTCCAAAGCGAGTTCCAGGAAAGGCGCAAAGCTACATAGAGAAACCCTGTCTTGAGAAAAAGAAAAAAAAAAGAACCAGTGAGATGGCTCACTGGGTAAAGTTACTTGATACCAAGCTGGGCGGTGGTGGCGCACGCCTTTAACCCCAGCACTCGGGAGGCAGAGGCAGGCGGATCTTTGTGAGTTCAAGGCCAGCCTGGTCTACAGAGCGAGATCCAGAAAAGGCGCAAAGCTACACAGAGAAACCCTGTCTCGAAAAACCAAAAAAAATAATAATAATAATAAAGGTACTTGATACCAAGCCTGACAACCTATATAAACCCCAGAATCCACTTGGTGGGAAAGAACCCCTAACAAGTTGTCCTCTGATCTCTACATACTGTGGCATGCTCACATGTGCTCATTCACATGAAATAAATATATTATACAGAGAGAGGAGAGAGAGAGAGAGAGAGAGAGAGAGAGAGAGAGAGAGAGAGAGAGAGAGAGAGAGAGAGAGAGAGAGAGAGAGAGAGAGAGAGACTGAATTAAGGGCTGGAGAGATGCTTAGCAGGTCAAGAACCTGAGAACTGAACTTGTTCCCTGGGACCCTCATGGTAAGAAAGAACCAACTCCCTCTGGGAAGTTGTACAATGTGAGAATTTTTTTTTTCAAGCGTAGCCAGCCTAACAAGAGCCCATATTCCTGAACCTCCCTCTTTCCCTTTTTAGTGGATTAACCAATGTTGTCAGATTGTGAAGCCAAGCTCCCACCAATGGGATGAAAAGCAATCACCACCTACATCAGGGATAAAGGAAGCCATGTCTCGAAAGAACAAGAAAAGAACAAAACAAAACCAACAAAACCAGACTAGGTGCATTTAGAATGGCGCTGCCTTGATTTAATTTCTGTCACTTTCATTTAGGGACAACTAACTGATGCCTACACAAGAGCAGACCACCAAGGTTCTTTGGTCGTTTCTGGAAGTCAGATTTCCGTCCGCAACTGCTCTCTCTGTCTACTTGATCATCAGCCCCGCAGCCTTGGTCCTTTCAGTCCATGACATCAGCTCTATGCACCTGGTCTCTTCCGCCTGCTCCATCTGCTTGCGGACGGTCACGCACAACGGAACTCAGGGAGCGAGCCCACAGGCGTCCCGGAAGACTGTGTGTGTGCGCACACACCCGGCCTGGCTGGCCTCTCCGACCGTTGACCCGGAAATGCTTATGGCAGCCCCTTGGATCTCTGGAGTACACCATGGTATTCCTTACAACGCGGCTCTGGCTACGGAACCGCCTCACGGACCGCTTTTGTCGGGTTCAGGAGGTGTTGAAACATGCTCAGGTGAGTGTGCGTGCCGGAATCGGGGCGCGGGCAAGGTGGTGCGCTACCATCCGGACACCCTTCTTCCTTTTTCTTCGTCCAGCATTTTAGGGGAAGGAAGAATCGCTGCTACCGGCTGGCAGTCAGGGCGGTGACCAGAGCTTTCGTTAAGTGTACGCAGGCCCGCAGACTGAAGAAGAGGAACCTGAGGACCGTAAGAGCCGCCCCTGGGAGCCCCATCCCGACCCCTAAGCTTGTCCTTCATCTCCCCTAGAGCTCGGCGCTCCTCCACACCCGGCTTCGGGAGCTCAGCCTTCCATCTCCCCGGAGCTTGGCCTTCATCCCCTGGGAGTTGTCCTCACCTCCTTGGACAGAAGCTGTGTGAAGGGTGAAAGGATCGGTATCAGCACAAGACACCCCTAGACCAAGTTTTCAGCACAAAGATTTATTTGTACCATAGGGACAAAGAGACAGAGACGGGAGTTAGAGGACGGGAGAAGGGGAAAGGTTCTCCGGAGAGTGGGGAGGGATAGTTATCCCGTAGGGACGAAGGACTGACTCTGGATAGAGAGGAAACAGACTTATCCCATAGGCAAATGGCAGTTTATAAAGGTAAAAGAGGAAGCCTCGTGTTAGGATGGGGTGTTTAATTTTAATTGAACAGGTTAATTAGGGCATCCACAGGGGGCTTTTTGCTGGACTTCAATACTTGGATAGCTGGTCCTTGGTAGTCAGCCTCAGGAGGAGGACATGGCCAAATAAGGGCTAGCTTTAGGTATGTAATCTAACGGTTTTTAGCAAGGAAGAGGGAATAGTGGAAGGGCAAGGCCTGCCAGAGCCACGTTTCTTATGATTGGGCCTACTAGAGTCCCTTCAAAGTTAGGTTTTTTGTCTTCTTCCTCGTTTGAGAGTTGTACTTAGGGACCTGGATTGTAGTTCTTATAAGTACCTATGAGCTGAGTCAACAGGGACATATGAAAGGTCATTTCTGACCTTCAGAGTCAGAAGGTGTTCCCTAAAGGCCGGAGATGGCTGCAGTGAAGAGGACTTGCTGGTCTTCTATGTCATTCCAGTTCTGTTCATAGCACCCACATTAGGCAACCCTCAACTGCCCATACTTCTAGATGCAGGGCATCTGACTCCTGGTCTCCACGGGCACCCACACACACGTTTTTCACAAATGACATACCCATATATGTATACAAATAAAAAAAGTTAAAGGACCCCCTAACCTGACTGTGGGTGCATCGTGACGGCTGTGTTCACACTCTGACAGTGTTGATTTGGGTCCCTGGTCCGTTCTCAGCTGCACCTGCCTTAGGGGTAGGGCAGTATTGCTGTAGGACCTGGTGATTTGTTCAGGTCCAAATGTGCTACAGTCTTGTAAACACATGGGAGTGTTCAGTTATAATATGAAAAGTGGCCAGGGTGGTGGTGGTGGTGGTGGTGGTGGTGGTGGCGGTGGCGGCGGCGGCGGCGGCGGCGGCGGCGGCGCACGCCTTTAATCCCAGCACTGGGAGGCAGAGGCAGGCAGATCTCTGTGAGTTTGAGGCCAGCGTGGGCTACAGAGTGAATTCCAGGTCAGGCTCCAAAGCTACACAGAGAAACCCTGTCTTGAAAAACCACAAAAGAAAAAAAAAAAAAGAAAAGTGAGCATTTGCTGCCACGGTGGACATTCTCAGGGCCTGGGACAGCCCTGGTCACCCTGGGATTTGTTAGAAATGCACATTTTAAAGGTCCTACTTTGAACCTGCTAAATCAGAATCTGGAAGGAGGACCCAAAAATTTGTGTAAACAAACCCCCAGGGATTCTGATGCAGGTTCAAACTTGAGAACTTGTGGAACTACTGTACCTTTTTTAAAAAAATGCTTAAAAGATCACTCTCACTCTGCAAAACAACCAACCAACCAACCCATTGTTATCTAATGTGTAAGAACAGACACACCAGGTAGTCTGAAGTTATACTACCATTGCTCTTCTCTTTGATTCTTGTGTCTTTCCAGATAGATGTTAAGGTATTTGCCTGTGCCTGGCATAGACCCTACTAATCCAATCAACCAGATCCTTCAAGGATCCTCTCTCCCTTCATAGAGTTTGCTGTGTTCCTATGTCTGCCACAGAATTTCAATCTTTGTTTTGGTACATACACATAGTTTGCAGTGGGTGACTTCCTTGCTTGTCTTTTTTTGAGGGGAAGAAAGGGAAGGCAGTACTTGGGATCGAATGAACCTAGGGCCTTGAACATGCTCGGCATGGGTTTTCTGTGTGTACATGTACCCATGCTTATGCACAGATGTAGGTTAGAGAGTAATTGTCAGGAGTCAGTTCTTGCCTTCTACCTCGTTGTAGCAAGATCTGCTTCACTGTTTCTGCTATACCCTGTACTCTAAGCTATCTGGCCTATGAATGGAGTGTTAGGATTATAGATGTATGCTACTACATCTAGCTCCCCCCCACCCCCACCCCGGAGCTGAGGACTGAACCCAGGGCCTTGTGCTTGCTAGGCAAGCGCTCTACCACTGAGCTAAATCCCCAACCCCTACATCTAGCTTTTTTACTTGAGTTCCAAGGATTGAGATCAGGTCATCAGGACTGCACAGTAATATGAGCCATCTCTGTGGCCTATGAATTTCTGAGCTATATCCCCAGCCAATGTCATGTGCATGTGTGGTCACTCCTCAGAAGCCATCCACCTGGTTTTTTTTGAGGTGAGGTCTCTAACTGGAACCTGAACATGATAAGGTGCCTGGCCTGCAAGCTCCAGGGAAGTCATGTATCACAGAGCACTAACTTCCCAGGCTGGACTTGAACTCGTTCTATGACCCAGGTTTGCAATCATGCCCTAGGTATTCTAGGAGCTGGGGTTACAGGCCTATGCTACCAGGCCTTGCCTGCCTGCCTGTCTTTATTGTTTTTTGTTTGCTTTGTTTAGTTTGTAAGCTAGAACCTTGCCATAGAGCCCTGCTTACCCTGAAACTCACTGTATAGGTCAGGCATAGGCCAGGCTGGCCTCAAACTTGCGTTGTTCTCCTGGCTTGGCCTCCCAAGTACTGAGATTTCAGGCATGAGTATCACCCTTGCTTGTCATTTTTTTTTTTTTTTTTTTTTTTTTTTGGTTTTTCGAGACAGGGTTTCTCTGTGTAGCTTTGCGCCTTTCCTGGGACTCGCTTGGTAGCCCAGGCTGGCCTCGAACTCACAGAGATCCGCCTGGCTCTGCCTCCCGAGTGCTGGGATTAAAGGCGTGCGCCACCACCGCCCGGCTAATGTATACAGTGTTCTCTTTGTATGTATCCCAGCAGGCCAGAAGAGGGTGCCAGATCTCATTACAGATGGTTGTGAGCCACCATGTGGGTGCTGGGAATTGAACTCAAGACCCTTGGAAGAACAGCCAGTGTTCTTAACCTCTGAGCCATCTCTCCAGCCCCATATTAAAGCTCGTTTGTTTTTTTTTTTTTGGTTTTTCGAGACAGGGTTTCTCTGTGTAGCTTTGCGCCTTTCCTGGAACTCACTTGGTAGTCCAGGCTGGCCTCGAACTCACAGAGATCCGCCTGGCTCTGCCTCCCGAGTGCTGGGATTAAAGGCGTGCGCCACCACCGCCCGCTTGTCATTTTTAAAGGAAATTTTTGTTTCCCCTTTTTTTTTTCTTTCAAGACAAGGTTTCTCTATGTAAACCAGACTGTCCCGGAATTTGATCTGTAGACCAGGCTGGCTTCTCACTCGTATGCCTGTGCCTCTGCCTCCTGAATGCTGGGATTAAAGGCTTGTACCACCACCACCACCCTTGTTTTTTGTTTTTTTTTTTTTTTGGTAACATTTTGTTTTGTTGAGACAGGGTCTCACTGTGTAGCTCTGGCTGTTGTGGGACTTGCTAGGTAGACCAGGCTAGTCTCATAACTCCCAAAGATCTGTCTGGCTCTGCCTTCTGAGTGCTGGGATTAAAGGCTTGTACCACCAGGACTATCTATGTGCATTGCCTTTTTGTGACAGTGTCTCAAAATGTAACCTAGGCTGGCTCTATCTCTTGATCATCTTGCTTTTTCATGGAGTGCTGCCTGCTTGTGATTCAGAGTGGGGCTTGTCTGTATGAAATACATCAACCTTTGCTGTTGTTTGTCCTAAAAGCTTGTTTGCCTGAGAAGAAAACATCTTTTCTACTTATTTTTACAAGCAATTTTAATTCAGTCAGAACCTTTGCTAAAAACAAGATATGGATACAACATTTAGAAATCAATATCAAGCAATATCCTAAAGCAAGGTGTGGTGGTGCAGACCTTTAATCCCAGCACTTAGGAGGCAGAGACAGGCAGATTCTTTGAGTTTGAGGGCAGCCTGATCTACATAGTTATAGGATAGCCAGAGCTACCTAGTGAGACCCTGTTTCAAAAGAAAGAAAGAAAGAAATCAATATCAAACATTTATTTTAATTCTAGCTCTGGACAAATCGAATTACAGCTGCCTCCCAGGAACATGGCTTACAGTACCCAGCATTCATTGTCAACTTAATTAAGGTAAGCTGAGGGCCTTTTTGAGGTGTTGAGCATCTAAAGGAATCATGCCATCAGATGTAAGCCAGCCTGGTAGCAGTCCATGGGGTAGACATGAGTGTTGCTAGGGCTGCACCCTAAACTACTTTTTGTTGTCTATATGGAGTTCTGGAAACCTACCTGCTTTTCCCTTGCCTTGCTGATAGTTTGTCATACAGTTGCCTGTTTTGGGATATTCGATCACATTGTGAACCCCGAGTTTACATTTTCATTAATTAAATAAAATCAACCTTGGGTCAGGAAGCAGAGCCAGCAACTAGTTGACAGAAAGTAATCATAGAGAGTCAGAGGGAGTCTGGAAGACTAATAGAGATGTACAGGGAGTAGTAGGGAGGGACTTTGAGTATGGCTGTCTTTTTTGGTTTGGTGGAGTGAAAGGATGCTCTATTTCTGAGACGCCGAGAAGGTCAGCTAGTTGCTTCTCAACCTTTCTGAGCTAGGAGGTTTTCACCCCAGCTTCTGACTCCCAACTCAGAACGATATTTAGTTAAAAACTGCATTTGGTGGCAGCAGCAGGAGGTGGAACCACCAGGCTTCTGCCTGAAAAGTGGGCCAGTAACTGGAACCACAGCAGCAGATTCAGGTGTGGCCATTGTGCTAATGGAAAACAACATTTTGGTACCCAGTGTGGGATGTCAAATGGAACAGGTCTTTCTTTGGACCGCCAGCTCCCAAATAATTAAAGAGACTTTTTATTACTTGTGAAAGCTTGGCCTTAGCTTAGGCTTGTTCCCAACTAGCTCTTAAAACTTAAATTAACCTGTTTATATTCATCAACATTCTGCCACATGGCTTGTTACCTCTCCTCCATATAGTACGTTCTACTTCCTCCATGTCTCTTCCCAGAGTTCCTATCTCTGCCTGGAAGTCCCGCCTATTCTCTCCTGCCTAGCTATTGGCCATTCAGCTCTTTATTAAATCAGTCAGAAGGTGTCTTAGGCAGGCAAGGAAGGACAGACACATCTAAACGTAATGTGATCAAATATCCTGCAACAGTTGCCAATTTGGATGTTTCTGTATGAAATGAAAAAGATAGAAAACTAATTTTAACTTTGGCTTTGAGGGTTTTTTGTTTTTGGTGTTTTTTTTTTTTTTTTTTTTTTTTTTTTTTTTTTGGTTTTTCGAGACAGGGTTTCTCTGTGCAGCTTTGCACCTTTCCTGGGACTCACTTGGTAGCCCAGGCTGGCCTCGAACTCACAGAGATCCGCCTGGCTCTGCCTCCCGAGTGCTGGGATTAAAGGCGTGCGCCACCACCACCGCCCGGCCGGGTTTTTTGTTTTTATGTTATGTAAAGTTGTTTTGCCTGCATGTATATCTGTGTACTACATCTGTGCCTGGTGTCTTTCGATGCCAGAAGAGGGCATTGGATCCCTGAGTTATAGATGATTATAAACTGCCCTGTGGGTTCAGGGAATTAAGTTTCTCTGGAAGAGGAGTAAGTGCTCTTAACTCCTGAGCAATTTCTCCAGCATCCCACATTTTTCCTTTTAAAAAGAGTCCATGGTGCCGGGCGGTGGTGGCGCACGCCTTTAATCCCAGCACTCGGGAGGCAGAGGCAGGTGGATCTCTGTGAGTTCGAGGCCAGCCTGGTCTCCAAAGCGAATTCCAGGAAAGGCGCAAAGCTACACAGAGAAACCCTGTTTTGAAAAAACCAAAAAAAAAAAAAAAAAGAGTCCATGGTAGGCATTCTGCTTCCACCTTAGCACAGACATTGTCCTAGTGCTTTTTAAGGGTCCTCTGGGTGAGCTGAGGAGGTGTTATATTCCCCATTTTATTGATGTGGGCCTGAAGCTCAGAAAGCAGATTTAAAGTCACAGGTCTGCAAGTTGTGGTACACATCTTTAGTCCAAACACTTGGATAGGGGAAGAGGATGACAGGTGGATCTCTGTGAGTTTGAGGCCAGCCCTCATTTACATAGTAAGTTCCAGGACAGCCAGAGCTACATAATAGAGAGATTTTTGTCTTTAAAAAAAAAAGAGAGAGAGTGAGCCAGGCAGTGGTGATGCAATGCCTTTAATTCCCGCACTTGGGAAGCAGAGACAGGTGGATCTCTGTGAGTTTGAGGCCAGCCTGGTCTACAGAGTGAGATCCAGGACCAAAACTACACAGAGAAACCCTGTCTCAAAAAACCAAAAGAAATAAAGAAAAAAGGAAAGAAAGAAAGTCACTTCCAGGTCATACAGTAGAGTCCACTTAGTGCTTGATAGCAGTATTTACTATATTTAGCCTATCCCCTTTTCTTCTTTTCTTGTCCCACTGCTGAAAGTTACCTGCTTTCTGAAATCACCTGTTACTGATCATCATTGCTGGGGATGGAATCCAGGGCCTGTACATAAGCACTCACCACTCAGTTACACTCCCAGCCCTATGGCCTCTCTCTCTTTTGAGGTAGTCTCACCTTGAACTCAATGCTTCTGCCAGCCCTGTAGTCTTAAGAAGCTTATATATGTCTTTGAATTACAGTAAAGGATTAGCCCATGCCAGAAGTCTTAGTGCCCAAGTGACCACTGACCCTAACCGTGGGTTCTAGGCCTCGGCTGGCTCTTCCATGTTGTAGCCTCTACAGGTACCTTTACTTGTCCCCACCCAAATTTATTCTACAGTATCCTCCTACATTTTACAGGCAAGATGTTCCTGCTTTACCTATCCCACCGTTCCCAGCTGTTGGACACCAGTAGAGTGGTGCTGGCTACTCTAGACTCACGAGGTCTTGTGGTTGCATCCTCCTGTCTGTTCCCACATGGAATCTCCTGTAGTCTACTGAAGTAATTTCTGTTGTTTTTGGATAGGGTCTCACTAGTCTTTGGCTGGCCTGGAATGCAGAGATCTGCCTGCCTCTGCCTCCACAGTGCTGGAATTAAAGGCATATACCACCACACTTAGCTTTTTCTTTTTTCTTTTTCTTTTTTTTTTTTTTTTCAGAGCTGAGGACCGATCCCAGGGCCTTGCACTTGCTAGGCAAGTGCTCTACCACTGAGCTAAATCCCTAACCCCTACACTTAGCTTTTTCAAGTGGTTTCTGATGCTTACTACAGGCTGTGGTTCTTTGTCTTCCCAGTGCCAGGTGGAGCTCAACAGGAAAGTACTTGTGGACCTGGCCATCTATGAACCAAAGACTTTTAAATCTTTGGCAGCTTTGGCTAAGAGAAGGCAGCAGGAAGGATTTGCTGCAGCTTTGGGGGATGGAAAGGAGCCTGAGGGCATCTTTTCCAGAGTGATGCAGTACCACTGAAGGCTAAAGAGCTATGGAAATTCTTATAAACAAGATAGTTGCAAAAGGATTGTCTATCACCAGTAAGTCTGATTTGTATTTATTTACATTTTAGCAACAGGCTTGAGAGAAAAGGTTTTTACTCAATGCCCTGTAAAGATTGTACAAATAAACCTTTTGCAGTGTTCAACTTGTGAGTTATTTTCTGGCATCAGGCAAACACACCTTTAAATGCATAAAGCCTCTGAAGTGCCCATATACTTGTTATCATTGACTGCCTATTAAGTGGTAGTAGTAGGATTTGCATGCTGTTTTTCCCTCTAAAGTAGAAGTTCCACACCAGGCTTCTGAAATGCCCCTGCTCTGCTGTGGAACAATCCTTTTCTACACTGCGAATATTTTACTCTCATTTGCTAATAAAAAGCTGGCCAATAGCTGGGCAGTAAGAGTTTGAGGGCAAGAGCCAGACTAGGAGAATTCTGGGAAGAGAAGGGCAGAGTCAGAGTCGCCAGCAAATTCAGAGAAGCAAGATGATAATTCGTACTGAGGAAAGGTACCAAGCCACGTGGCCAAACATAGATAAGAATATGAATTAATTTAAGGGTAAGAGCTAGTTAGTAATAAGCCTGAGCTATTGGCCAAGCATTTATAATTAATATAAGCCTCTGTGTGGTAATTTGGGAAGTGGCTGCTGGGTATTTGGGAACAGGAGGATGGGAACAGACTCTGGTCTGTTCCTAGTTTGTAAGCTTATTATTTGATATTAACCTCTTTTGGTCTTTTCCTTATGTATGTCATACCCAGTGGTTCAGCTGTTGGGCCACTAGCCTGTTTCCCTGTCTCTTTCTATGTTCCCTGTTGGGTACAGCTTAGGTGACTATGTCCTCATATCAAGAATGTGATACTCTTGGTCTCAGTATGAAAAGTTGGCTCAGTTTTATTTATTTATTTTATTTTAATTTTTTTTTTAAAGATTTATTTATTTATTATGTATACAGTATTCTGCCTACATGTGTCCTTGCAGGCCAGAAGAGGGCACCAGATCTCATTATAGATGGTTATGAGCCACCATGTGGTTGCTGGGAATTGAACTCAGGACCTCTGGAAGAATAGTCAGTGCTCTTAACCTCTGAGCCATCTCTCCAGCCCTTGGCTCAGTTTTAAAGGGAGACTTCCAAACTTACATCATCTAGCTAGATTTTTTTTCTTTTTTTTTCTGAAACAGGTTTTCTATGTGTAACAGTCCTGGCTGTCCTGGAACTTGATTTGTAGCCTAGGCTGGCCTTGAACTCACTGAGATCCGCCTGCCTCTGCCTCCCAAGTACTGAGATCAAAGGCATGTGCCACCACCACCAGGCTCTAGCTAGGTCTTTTAACAAGACTGCTCTCTAAGGCTCAGGAATATATTCTGGACAAACTCATTAGCAGCAGCACCTCAGCAGGTCTATTAATGCTATATAATGTAGTCTCTTTCACTCTTCCTCCTGCAGGGGATAATGTATCAGGTTAGGCCATCTTGGGATCCTGGCTCACTCAAAGACTGCCATCCCTCTAAAAACACCTATTTCCATGCCTCTATCAAGTTCTGTAGTTTGCTTTTGTTGTTGCTTTGTTTTTGTTTTTCGACACAGATATACACGTAAGCAAAACACCAATGCACATAAAATTTTTAAAAAGTTATAACTTAGAGGTTAAGAGCACCCTCACTTTGTAGACCATGAATGCGGACAAAACAGCAATGCACATAAAAGAAAATTAAATAAAATGTATATTAAAAAAAGACCACTTGGATCTCTCCTCTGTTCTTTATCATCACTGTAGGCCAGCTTAATTTTATCTTCCATTACTGAAGACAAGGCCCCTTTGGTTTTTGTTGTTGTTATCAGCCTAAAGGTCACTGCACTAAGTATTTGTGTCTTGTTTACAATACTGTCACCACTTTGCCTGAGTGTTCAATACATACTACTCATCAGCCAATGGTTATTGAACAGATGGGGTAGAAGATATAGACCCTTTTGGCCCCATCACTGAGCTTTGTTTTGTACTTAATAAAGACAAGAGATGCTGCCAACAAACCACTGTGGGTTATACCCAGCATCCCTATCTAGCCTAGGTTTCTCTCCCTGTTGGGTGTTGACAGTCATCTCCAGTACCAGAGTCTGGCTTGAGTAACTAGAGCCAAGTCTCTTCTATCTTTTGGCCAGCTTCAGTTTAGGGAATGGGCAAGCAGCCAGGCAGTGACAGCCTTGGACCCTTGGACCCACCTTGGAGTTGCAGCCTAGGGATAGAGATGAGTGGACAGTAACAATACGACCAACATGGGTAGAGGGCAGGAGATGTGGTCTTTGTTGGATCTGCTTAGGGAGTGGAATCAAATCAACCCCCTAGAGCTGGGCTATGGGATGCTGACTATTGGCAGCCTTGTTTGAAGCTCAGAACACCTGAATTGGACCTATCCAGGAATCTCCTTACCCTCCACTGTCCTCCCAATTTTCCCTCCCACCAAAGCTGCAATATTGGTGAAAGCGTAAGATAACAGCAGTGACAGGTAATAGCCACATCTACTGCATAGTTTTAGGTGAAACTTGGCAGGTCAGTAACGGAGTTAGGAATACTCATAAATACTGTCTGTAGGGTCAACTCCAAGTATTTTCCTACCGACCTTTAAAATCTCTAGTACCTGCCACGAGAGATTGGTAGAGTCATCAAATTTGACTTTTCCATTTCTCTTTAATCTGCCCGTAAAAAAAAAAGATTTATTTATGTATATGAGTGCTCTGTTTGCATGTATGCCTGCATGACAGAAGAGGGCATCAGATCCCATTATAGATGGTTGTGAGCCACTATGTGGTTTCTGGGAATTGAACTGAGGACCTCTGGAAGGGCATCTCTAGTTCCTTAACCTGCACTTTTTTTTGTTTTGTTTTTCGAGACAGGGTTTCTCTGTGCAGTTTTGTGGCCTGTCCTGGATCTCGCTCTGTAGCCCAGGCTGGCCTCGAACTCACAGAGATCCACCTGCCTCTGCCTCTCGAGTGCTGGAATTAAAGGCGTACGCCACCACCACCCGGCCCTAACCTGCACTTTTAATGCTGACAGATCCACCCCACAGCTGTAGCAGACCCAGAGGAAGAGCTGGAAGGGTTGAGAAGTAAAGACCCTGGACTAAATCGCGCTGTAATGCTGTGCGTGTGAGACTGTGGGGAAGAAGTCCCAATACCCACGGAAAGACTCCCTTCTAGAGCTCCAGTCTGCGAGGCAGGAGCGCTGCAATCCGCACCGGACTGACCGCTTCCGATTCTGTCCAGGTCGCGGAGCAGAGTGGGTAACGAGCAGCCCCTCCCGTGGCCACTTCCGGCGTCAGAGGCTGACGCGTAACAGAAGAACAGGTCGTACGGCCAACGGGGTCGAGGCGGCGGTGACGTGCAGCCAATGGGCGGGGGCGGGGCGGGGCGGCTGTGATCGTCGCGAGGAGCCGCCCTCCGGGAAGGGCCCGAAAAAGAATCGGCGGCACAAAATGGCGGCGTCGGCGGCCGGGGCTTCGGTGTTGGCGGCTCCTGCGTTGGCGGCCGGCTCTTCCGGCTCGGGGGGAGCCGCCCCAGGGTCTCAGGGGGTACTGATCGGTGACAGGCTATACTCAGGCGTGCTCATCACTTTGGAGAACTGCTTGCTGCCCGACGACAAGCTTCGCTTCACGCCATCCATGTCGAGTGGTCTCGATATCGACACAGAGACCGGCCTCCGCGTGGTGGGCTGCGAGCTCATCCAGGCAGCCGGCATCCTGCTTCGCCTGCCGCAGGTAAGGGCGCGGCCGCGAGCTTTATAGGTAACCGTCCGCCGGCCGGCCGAGAGTGCCAGGCCTTTGTTGTTGGCTTGGCCCACGTCCCGGAACCAACCGGACCTAGACCATGACTGAGGTCGGAGCCCGGCCCGCCCCGCAGCCTTGACATAATCCCCCTGAGTCCATGCTTCAAACCTGGCCGCTGACCGGCTTGGAGTGGGGCCCGCCCCGGACTTCCCTTCCCCCCCTCCCCCTCGGGCGAAGGCCCTCTTACAAACCCCAGGACAACCTCGCGAGACCGAAATTCTTTGGGGAAATGGAAACTGTGGGTATTTGTCCAAGGGGGAACTACACATGACATTTGAGCTGGGACAGGTTTGAGTTCTGCGTTCAAAAGTGATGGAATCTTCTCCGTCCCTAGGTGGCCATGGCTACAGGGCAGGTGTTGTTCCAGCGATTCTTTTACACTAAGTCCTTCGTGAAACATTCCATGGAGGTAGGCTTCTTTGTTTTATCAGAGAGATGAATTGGGAGGAAACCTGACTTGTTCTGCACACTACTTAGTGAACTGAATTCTGTCCTGCAATGCCTATACAGTTCTCTCCCTGGAGGCCTGTCTCTGTACTTTCTTTTTGCTCCTAATAGTTTTTAACGCCCTGGAAGTTCCTCAGGTTGGGGAAAAACACCTGTGTCCCAATGTACATTTCAGCATGTGTCCATGGCTTGTGTTCACCTGGCTTCCAAAATAGAAGAGGCTCCAAGACGAATCAGGGATGTCATCAATGTATTCCATCGCCTTCGGCATCTAAGAGAGAAAAAGTGAGTCCCTTCCAGAGCTGTTGTATGTCTGGTATTGTAATACCAACCAGTGGATTTACAGCAGCTTGTTCCCGAGTGCCAGATGCTGTCTAGAGGTAGCAGTAGGGGAGCACAATAAGCAGGATAGCTGGCTGTGCTAGGTCTGCTGGAACAATTCCTGTATGACCACATCAGCTCACCACCCGATTCTCCTGTTTTCCCCATGCTTCTGGGCTGGTGGTTCTTCATTAAGGGAGTTGTCCCAGCATTGTATTATATTGACTAGCATTCCTGGCCTCTCCTTGACAGGAAGCGTTTGTATCCTTCCAAAGTTATTAACAGAAATATCCCTAGAAATTGTCTGTTTTGATATCTGACCTTGCTGTGTAGCCGTAAGTGGCCTGAAATGTAGGTGAGGCTGATCTCAACCTCTCAGCAGTCCCATCTCAATCTCCCCTTATGTTCCGACTACACGTGTGAACATGCTTGTCTCCAAATATTGCTTTTTAAAACACTCATGGAGAGCTGGACATGGTAGCACAAGCCTTTAATCCTAGCACTCAGAAGGCAGAGGCAGGAGATTCATTTGAGTTTGAGGTCAGCCTGGTCTACAGAGCTAAGTTGCAGGACAGCTGGGCTACACAGAGAAACCCTGTCTAGCAAAACAACAACAGTAAATGAACAAAAACCAACCCACCCTTGGAGCAAGTCAGAAGTGGAGATATGCAATTGAAATCCTGGTGTTTGAGAGGTGGAAATAAGATCAAGAGTTCAAGGTCATCCATCCTCAGTTACATAATGAATTTGAAGCCAGCCTGGAGTACATAAGACCCTGCCACAAGAGAACATAAAACATAAGAAGATCCTTTCTCAAAAATAGGTAAAACCCAAAAGCAATAGTGAGGGTCTCAATAGGTAAAGGACCATGAATTCAACTCTAGGATCAACGTGGCAGGAGAGAATTGACTCCCACAGTTGTCCTTTGTCCTCCACAGGCACAACCCACAAACCAAACAAATGTAATAAAAGTTTTAAAGAATATACATACACACAGAGTTGATCAGATGGTTTAATGGGTAAAAGAGCCTGCTGTCAAGCCCGAGGACCTGGATTTGATGCCCAGGTTCCACATGGTAGAAGTAGAAGGAAGCAACTGACCAACTGACTACAGCAGTCCCCCATACAAAATTAAAAGAAGAAAGAAAAAGAAAGTATCCACACAAAAAACCAGACAACTGTTGTCCCTAGAAGTGGACCATGCCCCTAGACATTACCCCAGACTTCCTGTTCTTTTTCACAGAAGCCCTTTAGTTTTTATTTTGTTCTGCATTTTTTTTTTTTTTTTTTTTTGTACTAGAGTTTTATTATGCAGCCTTAGTTGGCCTGGAACTTTATGTAGACCAGGCTGGCCTCACTCAGAAGGACTGTCTCTGCCCCTAGAGTGCTGGGGTTAGGGGAATGTGCTCAACTTAACAGAAACCTTTTAAAACACAGTCTGGTCTCTTATGTTTTGTTGTTGGTTTGGTTTGGTTTTCTAATACAGGGTTTCTTTGTAGACCTCTGTCTATCTTGGAATTCACTCTGTAGACCAGGCTGGCCTCGAAACTCACAGAGATCCACCTGCCTCTGCTTCCCGAGTGCTGCAATCAAAGGCATGCACCACCATGCCAGGCTAAACCTGGTCTCTTTTTTGATAGTCAATCTATATCTGTAGCTTTCTCATTCAAGAGTTCAACCAACCTTGGATTGAAAATATTGGGGTACAGGGAGTGGAATCAGTGTCTGTGCTGAACATGTATAGACTTTCTTGTCACTATTCCTTAAACTTCAGTACCATGACTATATGTGTGTAGCATTTACATTGTACTAGGTATCATAAAGTACTTAAATATGATTTGAAATGTGTGGAGACTATATGTAAGTGCTTTGGGGATATTCCACCATTTTGTATAAGAAACTTGAGCATTCATAGGTATTAGTATCAGGTGAAAGTTGTCATGGAACCAGCTCCAGTGTATACTGAGGGATGACTTTATTGATTCTGTAGTTTCCCATTCAACCAGAAAGGTTGATCTTTTTGTCTTGAATCTGACATGGTGTTATATAACACTTGTGCAGAGATCCCGAGACCTTCCACCATATTCAAGAGGTGTATTGATATGCTAAATACTGTTTATGTGTAGAGACAAGGGGCAGGTTAGTAATAAAGTGCACATAGGTTAGAATTGAGGTTTGAGGGCTGTTTTGCAATTTTGTTAAAGGAAGTGACATTTGTAGCTTTCTGGTACTGTAGTATAATCACTTGGTAGAATCTGAAAGACTTTTGCTTGATTGATCCTGATACAGAACATATGCTTTGTCTTTGCAGGAAACCTGTGCCTCTAGTGCTGGATCAAGAGTATGTTAATTTAAAGAACCAGATTATAAAGGCAGAAAGACGTGTTCTCAAGGAGCTGGGCTTTTGTGTCCACGTGAAGCACCCTCATAAGGTGGGTTTGGTTTGGCACCTGCGGCCAACTAAGCCATACTTCAGTTGACTTCTACTATATGCTGAAATGAAGACCTTGAAGAGTACTGAATGTTCCCTTCATTTGGTTTTTTTGTTTATGTCTAGAACGTAAAATTAATCCTTTATTTATCAACTTTTATATTATTTTTAGTAATATAAGAGTTTTTGAAGTGATGTCCTTTAGATCTGGGCTTTCAAAAGCAGTGGTAAAGTTTGAAGTTGAATCCATTAACATACATTTTTCTTGCCTGACTTGGCGGCAAGCAGGTTAGGATTTCAAAGACATCTCTAGCTACATTTCAAGTAGGAGGCCAGCCTCCCCTACATGAGACCTTATTTCAAAAATAAGCAGGGCTTAGCCTGGTGTAGTGGTGTACAGCTTTAATCTGTGTACTTGGGAGGCAGAGGCAGGTAGATATCTGTGAGTTCAAGGGCAACCTGGTCTTCACATCGAGTTCCAGGAGAGGCTCAAAAGCTACACAGAAAAACCTTGTCTTGAAATACCAAAAAGAAAGAAAGAAAGAAAGATTTATTTGTTCATACAGTTTATGTATATGATTGCTCTGTCTTTATTCATACCAGAAGAGGGAATCTGATCCCATTACAGATGGTTGTGAGCCACATGTGGTTGCTGAGAATTAAACTCAGGACCTCTGAAAGAGCAGTCAAATGCCCTTAACCAGCCCCATGTACATTTTTCTTAACAGTAATTTTTTTTTGTTTAAGAGCATGTGTGTACAAGTACATTTGGAGACCAGATAAAATTGTCAGGAATATTTCCTCCTGGGACAGGTGGTCTTATTGGCCTGAACCTTACCAATTAGGTTAGACTGGCTGGCCAGTGAGTCCCAGGAATCCTGTCTCTACTTCCCAAATCCTTCTGTATCTACTTCTCAAAAGTGAGCTACCACATCCAGCATTTTTATATGCATTCTAGGGATTGTGTGGCAAGCACTTTATTGACTGAGCTTTCTCCTTAGCCCTTAAGAACTAACTTTGTTTGTTTGGGTCTTTTGAGACAGGGTTTCTCTGTGTAGTTTTGGTGCCTGCATTGGATCTAGCTCTGTAGACCAGGCTGGCCTCGAACACACAGAGATCCACCTGGCTCTGCCTCCCGAGTGCTGGGATTAAAGGCGTGTGCCACCACCGCCTGGCAAGAACTAACTTTTAAAAGTTAGCTTTAATATCTCCAGTAGAAGAACAAGAAGAATTCTGAATCCTTTTATTTCAAAATTAACCAAAATAGTTTATATCATGTGCTGATTAAAAATGAGTTTATTGTTCTGTCTCTTGAGTGTCTTACCTAGTTTAGCTAAACTAAAACTTTAAAGCTTCAGGCTTAGCTGGGTATAGTAGTACACACTTTTAATCCTAGCACTTGGGTAGCAAAAGGCAGGCAGATCTCTGAGTTTGAGGCCAACCTGGTCTGCATATCAAGCTCCAGGCCAGCTCGATCTACAAAGTGAGACCCTGCCTTATTAAACCAAACAAAAGTTCATGTTTACTTCTGTGGCCTTGTCATCTTCTCTTGCTTATTTGAGTTTCTGACATTAAATTCTTGGTAAATCATCCACTAAATATTTTAAGTACTTTTCTTAATTTGTTTAATGTATTTTCATGTTTTGTACAAGTTGGCTACTGGGGTACAGGGCTATGTAGAGCAGGCTAATCTCATTGATGGAAAAGATGTTGTCAACGAGAATGAAAATGAGCCACATGGAAAACAAGGCCTTCGATGCCATGGGTGCAGCGTGGTCTTCACATGTGCACTCTGTCCAGCTGTAAAAGCAGGTAGCAAGCACATCACAAAAGTGGAGCTGTCTGCCGGACGTCACCAGGAGCTCCCTGGGGTATAGCTTGAGGTTCTTTTGCTGCATGGACACCAAGATCTGAGTTCCCTGCTCTCCAAGTTTTTGGTAATAACTGCCTGACCCATATCTTCCAGATAATCGTTATGTACCTTCAGGTGTTAGAGTGTGAGCGTAATCAACACCTGGTCCAGACTGCATGGTGAGTTGATTTTCCTTGTTTTATGAGACCAGCAAGGGCAGTTCAGGAATGTATTACTTGAGGCACTTGGGCAGTGGGTTGTCATCCCATGACTTGGTTATGGTCTGGAATTGTCCCAGTGCCTCCCCCAAAATGACAGGGACAGGCTTAACGGTAGGTGGCCCATCCACCCCTGCCCCTGTATTTCCAATGCTTCCACCCCGGGAGAGTAGTCAATGGGCTTTTCTCTGAGGTTTGGTAGCTGGGTATAGGAATGTTATAGGTGATGGTCCCAACAACAGAATCAGTGGTATTGTTTCCAGAGAATTTAGGGAAGGGAAGGGGTTTTGATGCAGTCCTGGGTTGGTTTTAGCAGGCATATGCTAGAATGAAGCCTGAAGTAACAATTTGGTGTTGGGGTATATTTCCCCCACAGAGTTAAGTCTGTAGGGGTCATAATTGCTGACTGAATTGTCTGGTGCTATGACATGCTTTATAGAGAACCTGTTTTGACTTTTCTTTTCTGTACTCTTTCAATCAAAGGGTAGCCTCTGAGGGTAAGTGACTAAGACTTCTCCTCTGCTGTCCAAGCGCTTTGGTGCAGGGACAGCGGCCGTCTTCAGCCAATCCAGTGCAGGCTCTCCACCGAAGGCTGGCTCTAGACTGGTGGTATGCGTACCTGATAGTATAGTCATGGCCGACTGCTGCTTGTGGTTCTCTGACGATTGTGCTTCTTGTTAATCCTGTCGTGCTTGGTAATTGTATCAATCAATTAGAGTTGATAACTGTCTTAACTTGAATTTTGTCCTTTTAAAACTGCTGTACCTGTGCAATAAAGATGCAATACCTTTCCTGTTTAAAAAAATATATATATAGAAAGCTGTAAGAATTGAAGTGACAAATTGGCATGGTGGAAATTCAGGCTGTTATTAGATCTTGTCATTATTTCTCCCAAGTCCTACAGTTGCTCTTTTCAGCAGCTTAAATGGCACTCATTCCAGTAAAGGTGTGCATCTTTAAGTTAAACTATTGTAATTTATTTCAAATGTAGCATAAAGTTTAAATACACCTTTAAAGGATTTCATCTGTTTTTAGAACTTAATATTAATGAGTTAGTACATTTGAATACTAAAAATTCCTTATTAGTAATAAAGTTATTGATGGTTATATTTGTGAATGTTTACGCTGTTTAGCCACAGAATGACTCCTGAGAGATGGATAGTGCAGCTCTCATTCTGGCTTCCCTTCTGATGTGTAGAGTTAATGTTTCCAGGGCCAGCTGCCTCTAATAGACATCTGTAGAATTTACTGTTTAGAATGTCAAATTGGGTTTGAATGTTACTTTCTCTAAGGTTTTAGGGCAAAGATACTGGGGTGGGGGTAGTTAAATCTTATGAGGTACAGCCTGACATTAGGGTGTGTGTGTTATACCATTATTGGATATGTTGGGCAGTGTATAATATAACCTCTTCACATGTTTTCTCATGAATTGTTTTTGTAATGTTGATAAAGCTAGTTTAGCATTTTGTTTTAGACTACAAATTTAAAAGAAATATATAAAGAAAATGTTAAAGATGTAGCCAATTTTAAAGACCTTTAACTTTTCTAAAAATGTGAAGTTTTGTACTTATATATATATCTTCTAAAGTATTAAAGTATTTTTAAGTGTGCTTAGCTTGTTGCCACTTTTAGTGTTTTGTTGCTTTTGTCTGATTTTTATGAATGTTCATTTTAAGACTCCTTGTTGAAATGGGACAGTTTGGAAACGTTCTTTGATAAACCCGAGAAGAGGATTCCCTTGGGTGTTGACCTCCTCTGCATGATGTGCCCATGCATCTGAACTGCACCCAAGGGCCTTTCCCTTTTCCAAGTGGACTCCCTCACTGGAGCTGCGGCTCAGTCATCTGGAGAAGGCCCGGGCCACAAGTGCTGCCTGAAGAAAAGGAACACAGGACGACAGCTTGTCTCACAGTTTCAAGGCTTCATGCTCAGCCTGCTCATTTGAGTTTGCATGTTTCTCTGCACTATGGATTTTGAACATTTAGATTTCTTTAATCAACTTCATTTTAACTACTAAGTAGCATTTTCTTTCTAAGCATTGTGCTTTGCATGATAGCAGGCCAAATATAGAAGGAAAAGTAAAGTTAAAGTCGGTTCTCGTTCATAGCAACACGTATTGTTTGACATTCAGCCAGCTTTTTTTCCCCAGTGATTTCTTTCATGTATTCAGAATATCCCCTGGTATCTCTGGAGATTCCCAGAGTTCCCAGCCCAATCATAGTGTAGAACCCTTAGGAATAACAACCTTTGATTACAAGTAGTAGCATAGTTGCCCATATCATTACAATCTTCCTGGTCTTGTTTTTAGGAACTACATGAATGACAGCCTTCGCACAGATGTCTTTGTGCGGTTCCAACCTGAGAGCATTGCTTGTGCCTGTATCTACCTCGCTGCCCGGACACTGGAGGTAAGTATATGGCTGCCTGTGTTTTAGACTCTAGACCTTTCTCCACCCTCTAGTAATGTTAGTGTATTTGTCAAACTAGGTTCATTAGCAACAGAGTTTCTTGGTAACTGTCAGGCCATTTTCAGGTGTTGCCCTAAGAATCTTGTTGGTCTTGAAGTGTTTTGTTGGTGATGGTGGTAGTGGTGGTGGTTTTTTGAGAATCCTCAGATTCACAAAGATCCAGCCTCTGCTCCTGAGTGCTAGGATTAAAGGTGTGCACCACCATACCTGGCCTTGGATTTCTTAAGGAAAGTGACATGATAACATTTGTATTCACAGATCCCTTTACCCAATCGTCCGCATTGGTTTCTTTTGTTTGGAGCAACTGAAGAAGAAATTCAAGAAATTTGCTTTAAAATCCTGCAGCTTTATACACGGAAAAAGGTTCCTCTGTGTGTTTTTGTGTGGATTATATGCTTGTGTTTGGCCAGAAGCATTTGGTTCTGAATGGATGATTCTGGCTTTTCAGGTTGATTTGACACACCTAGAAAGTGAGGTGGAAAAGAGAAAGCATGCCATCGAAGAGGCCAAGGCACGAGCTAGGGGGCTGCTACCCGGGAGTGCTCCAGTTCTGGACAGTGCTGCAGGGTTCTCACCTGCTCCCAAGCTGGGTAAGTGTTCAGACTTCATTCCTCACAAGGGAGCAATTTGGAACCTGAATTTTGGTTTGGGGATATGTGCTACTCCCTCCCAGATCTGTCTTGGAGTTGAGCCTGCAGCTATCTCAACAGTACTCTGGTACTGGAATCCCTAGCTGTCTGTTGATGGTCCTTAAAATAAGTCAGGGAGGCCCCAGGAATTGTTTTCATTCTAAGAAATGTGGACAGCCTTTCTGAAATGCTGTTTTTTTCCCTTTTTTCTTTCTTTTTTTTAAACGATATCTACCAAGTTGGCTTGTTATCTGGTTTTTGGTTTGTGGTGTTCTGGTTTTGGTTTTTTGAAACAGGGTTTCTCTGTACAACAGCTCTGGATGTCCTGAAACTAACTTTGTTGATCAAGCTGCCCTCTAACTCACAGAGATCTGTCTGCTGAGTACTGGGATTAAAGGCATGCAACAACCCCCACCCAGCTAAATTTTTAAGCTTAGAGTCTATGATTATATTGTTAGAACATAGAATATGATACTCATTCCCTGGTCCCTGGGCAAAATAGGTCTGAACAAAAGGCCTATCTGTGTCTTGTGTATATTTTCATTCTGGGTTAGTACAGGTGGTCTTGTCTTGCTTTGCTAGTGTATTTCCTTTTGAAGAGATTTCTGATTATGGTTTTAATTTCTTATTTGATTCAGTAGAATCTCCCAAAGAAGGTAAAGGAAACAAGTCTTCCCCACTCTCTGTGAAGAATGCCAAACGGAAAGTGGAGGGACCAAAGAAAGCCAAGGCAGACAGCCCTGTGAATGGGTAAGATGCTCATGTGTGCTTAGATAGACATTGAAGGCTAAGGTATTACAGGTCTGGAGAGATGGCTCAGAGGTTAAGAGCACTAGCTGCTCTTCCAGAGGTCCTGAGTTCAATTCCCAGCACCCACATGGTGGCTCACAACCATCTATAATGAGCTCTTGTGCCCTCTTCTGTTCTGCAAACATAATGCAGGCAAAATACTGTATACATAATAAATAAATAAATCTTTAAAAAAAAAAGGTATTACAGGTCTGAAACTTCTCTGCTCCTGTTTGCAGCTTGCCAAAAGGGCATGAGAGTCGAAGTCAGAGCAGGAGCCGTGAAGAGAGCTACTCAAGATCCCCGTCACGGTCTGCTTCTCCAAAGAGAAGGTGTGTGTCTGGGGCATTTTCTTAGGGTAGTAGGAGGGGACATAGATGTCACTTGCAATAGTGCGGACATTGGTGCCTTTTTATTTTATTTGAGACAGGGTTTCTTTTCTGTGTAGTTCTGGCTGTCCTGGAACTCATTCTGTAGAGCAGACTGCCTCCCAAGTGCTTGGATTGAAGGTGTGTGCCACCATGCCCAGTGGGGCAGTGGTTCTTAACCTGATGTGGTTTTTCTTTCTCTGAATTTGAGTCCCTTTGCAGCCAGCTGGTGGTGGTACATGCCTTTAATCTGAGCACTTGGAAGAAAGAGGCAGGTAGATCTCTGAGTTAGAGGCCAGCCTGGTCTACAGAGTGAGTTCTAGGACAGCCAGGGCTACACAGAGAAACCATGTCTTGAAAAATGAAACAAAATAAAATGAACCCCTTTGCCAACTCCTCGCTTTGTTAGGGCTTAGCTAGGACAGGTGGCCACACTTGTGGTCACAAGTATGTTTTTCTCTCCATAGGAAAAGTGATAGTGCCTCTACCTCAGGTGGGTCCAAGTCACAGAGTCGTTCTCGGAGCCGCAGTGATTCTCCTCCAAGGCAAGTACACCGTGGTGCTCCCTACAAAGGCTCAGAAGTGAGGACCTCCCGGAAATCTAAGGACTGCAAGTACCTCACCCAGAAGCCACACAAGTCTCGTAGCCGAAGCTCCTCTCGTTCTCGAAGCCCGTCACGAGAGCGGACAGACAATTCTGGAAAATACAAGAAGAAAAGTCATTACTATAGAGATCAAAGACGAGAGCGTTCAAGGTCCTATGAGCGCACAGGCCATCGCTATGAGCGGGACCACCCTGCACACAGCAGACATCGGAGGTGAGATGGGTTCCCTGGTGGCTGCCCTTGGTCCCTCCCTGTTGGGCACACCTTGGCTTCAGTGGCCTTGTAGCATGATATTTTTTGGAAGTGTTTTCAATTGGACCTTGAGGTGAATTTAACTGATGGGACAGCGAGCAAGGTACCCTTCAGGCTGGCCTGGGGAGTGCTGCACATCCGTCCCAGTTGAAGGTCCACCTCAACTGCAGACCTTCAGGTAGCTGGATGGAACAGCAAAGGCACTCGTCCCCATTGGTGTGGCTTGGTGCTATTGATAAGCTGTCTCTTCACTCCTAAACTGATACTCAATTACGTTAAGCCAAGAAAGATGATTTTTCAAATGTCCACCTATATTAGGTTATACTTGTGTACATATTTTCCAGTGTTTCACAATGAGAAAATGGCCTTAATAGCCCCCGCCCCCGTTCTCTATTCACGTTGTAAATAAACATGTGTTTAATACAAGTGAAAGCTATATATAAAAACTCAGAATTTGAATTCTGTTAGCTTAACACTTGTATAGAGAATTCTGATTTTTAAATTGTGAAGGTATTTAGGTCTGTGTTGAAAGTCATATATTTTTATCTGTGCAATGCTGAGTGCTGGCCACCAGCTCTAGAGAAATTTTACGAGGTTGAATAAACAAAATTCTCAGGACACTTGGGATGTAAGACTCCGTGGGCTGTCATTCTGCTTGTTTTCTTATGTGCATGCCTGGGGCTTGGCTGTGGGACTCAGGCATAGTGGGAGTGTTTGTGTGCAACTGTGCACTGCCACCTTAACTATTCTAGGGGAAATATGAGCTGTATATTCCCTGATCTTTGCTCCCAGTTCTCATTAAAGTGTTGGATTTTGTATTAAGCTCTGTGCGTTCTGAAACCATCTGCCCTTAGAGATGAAAGGCTGTTTTCTGGAGTGCAACAGGAGGGAAGCCGTACATCAATGTACAGCTGAAGGGCTTCAGTCTAAGGGTCATGGGTTTATCATAACTTAAATTTTGTGTTTAGGTACAGGGACAGCCAAGAATAGGGCTCCTGGGTTCAGATTGCCATCTGAACCACTGTGGACAGACAGTAAGACAGGTTAAGATGAGCAGGCCTATTCTTTGGATGAGTATTGCCTGTAAAAATGTACTGGCTGTTTTGCCAGGAGTCACTTCCTTAGACTAGCTCCTAGAGACAAGTATGGACCTTGTTCCCCATACCTTACCCCACCCTCAATAGCCAGAGCATCAGTGCCTCCAAGTAGCCTGTATATACTTTGTCTGAGTATCATTGCTGGGGCTAGTCAAATCCTGCTCAGGCCAGTTTCATGGTTCCTTGTCCCTACACAAAGAAGTAGCAGGTGGGTCAACTCTACTGCAGTGGCTCCCAGGTCATGGTGATCACTGAGACCAATACAGGTTCAGCAAGGTATTTGTGGGCCCTGGCAAGAAAAAGCAGTTCATCCTGGTATCCCCTGTCTGAGTGTGGTATGATCAACCTTTCCCTCCCTCTAAGGCAATGGCTCTCAACCTCTGGGTTGCATCCCCTGTGGAGTGGAACAACCCTTTCACGGGTCACCCAAGACCATCGGAAAACAGATGTTTACATTACAATTCAGAACAGTAGCAAAATTACAGTTATGAGGCCTGGCGGTGGTGGTGCATTCCCTTAATCCCAGCACTCAGGAGGCAGAGCCAGGTGGATCTCTGTGAGTTTGAGGCCAGCCTCATCTATAGAGTGAGATCCAGGACAGGCACCAAAACTACACAGAGAAACCCTGGCTCGAAAAAACAAACAAACAAACAAAAATTACAGTTTTGAATTAGCAATGAAAATAATTTTATGGTTGGGTGTTACCATAACATGAGGAATTGCATTAAAGGGTCACAGCATTAGGAAGGTTGAGAATCACTGCTCTAGGGGAATCCATGTAACAAAGGGTACAGAAGCCACTGTTTGCTTTGCCTTGTTCATATACTCTGCATCAAGAACCCTGTGGTTCAGACACAGTGATACTGTTGTGCACTTATCACTTTCATGCAGGAGGCAATACAGCTTTTTCATCATCATGTATAATACTCCAGTAACATTTAGATTTTAGATAAAAGTTACAAAACAAAACAAAACAAAACACACAAACAGTATGTTTTGTGTTAGAATTTTTCCCTTAACTATTTAGTTTAATTAAGAAGGGGTTTCCAACTGTGATAGCACATGCCTTTAATTTGAGCACTTGGGAAACAAAGATAGGTTGATCTCTATGAGTTCAAGGCCAGCCTGGTCTCTTTAATGAGTTCCAGGCCAGTACATAATGAAACCATGTCTCAATTAACTACAAAGTGGAGTTGAGGAATGTAGCTCAATTGAATGCTTGCTTAGCATACCCAAAGCCCTGGGTTTGATCCCCAGCACTACATAAACTAGGTGTGGTGGAACATGGAGGCAGAATTGGAGTATCAATAGTTTTAAAATCATCCTGAGTTATGTATTGAGTTTGAGGCAGACTGGGCTACTTGAAATCTTATCTAAGATTTGGCATCTCTCTGTCAGAGGACCCAGATTTAGTTCCCATCACCCATACTAGGAGGGTCACAACCACCTATAACTCTTGTTCCAGGGGATCTGATGTCCTTTTCGGGCCTCCATTGACACCAAGCTTGAACATGGTGCACATACATACATGCAGGCAAAACAATTACAATGAATAAATACATCTAGTAAATTTAAAACTCATAAAACTTTAAAAATAGACAATGTTTAACAAGCTTCATAACTAACTGTTGTGTTAGGATAAGACATGAGCTGGCGCCCAGAGGTGGTGGTGGTGGTGGTGGTGTTGGTGGTGGTGGTGGTGTTGGTGGTGGTGGTGGTGGTGGTGGTGGTGCACTCCTTTAATCCCAGCACTTGGGAGGCAGAGGCAAGCTGATCTCTGTGAGTTCAAGGCCAGCCTAGTCTACAGAGCAAGTTCCAGGACAGCCAAGGCTACACGAAGAAACCCTATCTTGAACTGCGCCTCTCCTTCGCCCCCCCCCCCCCCAAAATAAATAAATAAAGACATACATACGCTGGCTCTGGCACTCCACCCTTGAGCTAAAGTAAGGCAGTTACCCTGACTAGCACAATCCAGCTAATATTGGGCTTCTGTAGCCCAATATTAGGGTTCCTCAACACAGACTGGGATGCCTTAGGCCACTCACACTCTTAAATGCTCCTCCATCCTCTAAAGAAAACACACACACCTTCCTTCCCCTCAAATCTTCTACCAATGATTTTTCTTTTTTCTTTTAGAAAGAGTTTTGCTTTGCAGACTAGGCTAACCTAGAACTTAAGATCGTCGTCCTCTGCTTGCTGAATGCTGGCATTGAAGGCACACCATGATCTGATCAGGGTGTTGGGAACAAACAAATCCTATGGAACAGCAGGACGTGCTCTTAATTGCTGAGCCATCTCTTCAACCCCACCAGTGCTTTGTCTTCGGGTTTTTATGAAGAATTGATCTTTGTAGTTTCAGTTCTGCCTTGCCAAGATTGGCTCATACCAGCAGTACGTTGTCACAGTGTCACAGATAATGTACCCATGTTTCATTGCCACCATGGCCAAGCAGCTGCCCTATGGTGGTTGGGCCCCTTGTTTTGGCCTGGGGCCTGTTGAGGTATAGGGATCTCAACAACAAGCTTGGCATTTCGTATCTCCCTAAAGATCAGAAACTGGCTAATTCTGGGATTGGGGAAGGAGGATGCTGATTGATCTGTTTCCAAGACATGGGTTTCCACTTGCCTTTTCTCCTAATGGTCCCTGACTCTCCTTATCTGAATTGTTCTCAACATCATCACCTCTCTGATGGATTTATTTATCTCTTTGGATCCTTGGTTTAGGTCTTCCATTTTCATCTAACTAGATAGAGTGCAGGGAGATAAACAGATCATCAAGTCACAGTTGATCATGTTGAGGACTGGAAGCACCAGGATGAAGGCTGGAGTCTAGAGGGCACCATTTTGTGCTTTGTGGCTAAACCCAGGGAAAGAGACTGTGAACTGAAGATAATCTAATGTGTATAAACCTTCCTGTTTGGGTTAGTGTAATGTATGGCTCAGTGGGTTAAGTATTGCCACACTAGCCTGACAACCTGAATCAGATCCATGTCATCCACGTAAAGGTGGAAGAAGAGAACTGACTCTACCAAGTCATCCTCTGACCTCTACATGTATGCTGTGGCATGTGCATGTGCACAGTGTGCCTCCTCTCTCGCAACACCATTGGAAAAGACCAACCTTTGTGTTTAAAATCTCAGGCATCACCTCTGGAAGGTAGGGTATATACAACATCACTTTGTGACCTCAGATACAGAGCCGGGACTAGAGCCTGCAGTTTCTGTCCTCATTATTGATTTATGCTCCACTAACTGTTAGTCAGCTAGGTTAGTGCCTGGGGATGACACACTTGGCCACTCCTTGCTAAGATTCCCCAGAAATCCCTCATGCAAAGCATAAGCAGTTAAATGAAGGAGATCCTGAGTCTTGGACCTTTCTTAAAGCAGGTGCCCCAGTCCATCGGGGCAGACTGGCCTTTCTGAGTGAGAGAGGTGTAGTATGAAATGCTAGGCTCTTGCTGTAGGAAGCAGCACCCATATTCCACAGAGGCTGCTTTAGGTTTTGGGGTAAAAATTAACGTGTGAACAAACAGCAGGCAGAGGCAGGCCGAGCTCCGTGAGTTCGAGACCAGTCTGGTCAACAAAGGGAGTTCCAGGACAACCAGGACTCTGTTACACAGAGGAACCCTGTCTGGAAAAAAACAACACAAAAATTAACGTTGCAGGGGTTCCCTCCCCCCCCCCCCCCCGCGCGCGCCCCCAAGGTACACGATTGGAACTTGTTTGCTTTAGAAACAGCCCATATAGGATTTAGGACCTCTCACTTGAGATTGGCGGGGAGAGGTGGCTCTCAGGTTAACAGATAGGGCCGCAGGAGCAGTATGTTCAGGAACAGCACCGAGTTCCTGAGAACTCAAGAAGCCCTGCGAGTCCTATTTTGCCCCCATCATAAGCCACAGGGCTATTCCTAAACCATCTCCAGCCCTAACAGGAGGAGCTCCAAATTCTTTCGTCGCTGAATGACGTCATTTCCGCAGTCCTACGGGCCTTGTGGAGAGACGAAACAACAAAAATACTGCTAAAGTCCACGCGTGCGCACAGAGCACTATCGGGGATTGTGGCCCGATGTAGGGTTTTGGTTGTTTTCTTGTCCGGAACTGACGAGCTGCTGGAGAACTGGGGCGGAGGAAGCGATCCCTCTAACCGGAAGCGATTGCTAGCGGGCCCCCAAGAGATGGGTTGACGCAGAGTCGGGCGCCAGAGGGCGCTGGTAGGATTAGGGTGGGGCGGAACCCCCCCCCCCCCCCCGCTTACAGACCGGAAGTAGAGGACGCTGGGTAGGATCAGGGTGGGGCGGAACGGTTTACAGACCGGAAGTTCTCAAGGTCAGAGGCATAATGGTCAGTTCTAACTTCCGGGGTTGAGTCTGTGTGTCGGAAGCTTGAAAGCGATAGGCTGTAGGGGAGCTGGAAAGATGAGAGGCCACCGGCCGCTGTTGGCCTGGTTCTGTTTGGTGCGTTCCAGCGTTGATACTATCCCGCGCTGTGGGTTCGGGTGTCTGAGCAGAAACGGTGGGTGGGTGGCTTGCGGGGGTCGCGTTGGTGGAGATAAGTAGAGGCAGGATTTAAGCCAAAAGCGACGTTTGAAGATGCCTCATTGCTTGTCAGGGGGATCCTGGGTGGTGGGGTATGTGAGGCATGCGGCCAGGCCTGCCGGCGACAACTAATAACACTGTCCACAATGACCGCAACTGGTACCTGTATTTTAGCTTTGAGCACCTGTGGCCTGGCCATCAACTCACCATGTTCCTGGCGCGCCTGACTTCACAGCTGGTCAGGGCTGTTCCTTGGGCAGGTAAGAGGCCCCGTGGACGCGGAAGCCATGCCTAGGTTGGGGATGAGCGGCCCAGCTCGCCTTCAGCAGTCTTAACTCGCTATGGAATTAGGGACCTGTCCACAAACTTTTCCCTGCAAACTTCGATGTAGTATGAAGGGGTACATCACAACTTTAGGCTAAAGAATAAGGCCCAGGTTTTCCCGTTTTGGGTGTACGTGTTGCCCACGTCTGAGGAGTAGTAGTGTTCTGATCTGGTGTGGTCTCACCAGTAGCGACTCTCTTGTTTCCCCTAGGTTTCAGTCGTTCCTGGCCTGGCTCTGGGATGATCGGAAGCCATGCTTTTCGACCCCTTTACAGTTTGCAGCCTGCAAGCCTAAGTCGGGCTGCCTCCCTCCCTGGTAAGGGGTACCAATTGAAGCTTGAGGAGTTCCTGGTCCCCAGGAAGATGTCCATCAGTCCACTAGAGAGCTGGCTGACTGCTCGATACCTATTGCCCAGACTGGATTTTGGGGTTCCAATGACTGTGGTTCCCTCCCACTACTACAAGTGTCCGCCCAGCCAGGAGGAGGAAGCCAAGCAGGGAGTCAGGGACGTCTGGGATGCCACTCCAGTGCAGTGCAAAAATGTGCTGAAGATCCGAAGACGGAAGATGAACCACCACAAATACCGTAAACTGATCAAGAGGACACGGTTTCAACGACGTAAAGTCCAGGAAGGACGTCTGAAAAGGAAGCAGGTGAATATGGGCTCTCCCTTGGACCTTGATTGGTAGTGGTTGAGAGTGCTTGGCTTGCTAAGAATGAGTTGGTTGCCCCCTCTGCCCTTGCAGATCAAGTTTGAGAAAGATTTGAAGCGCATCTGGCTGAAGGCAGGCCTGAAGGAAGCCCCTGAGAGCTGGCAGACCCCAAAGATCTACATGAAGAACAAATGAGCCTGGGGTCCCATCCCTCTGATCCTCTTCCTGCTGCTGACCCATTATAATAAACGTTGGAAGTTCTGAGTTATTCTGGGCTGGCATAGAGCTTCTTTGGTCTGGTGGGAGCTCTCTTGAAGAACAGACTTCCATATAGGAACCCAGAGCCCAAGGGTGCCTACTGGTTGCCTATGTTCCAAGCTGGTCCTTGACACCCAGTCTGACTAATTTGTGCCTTCTGAAATGACAGCCTTGTGTAGAGATATGTGCTATGGGATCACTGTGAACAGCTCCAGGGAGGCGGGCTTCAGGGTGAATACTGGTGGCATTGGAGCTGAGGGGTATCTGTACTAGGGTGAGTGGTGATTTGATTATGAAGTAAGGGATGGTTTGAGAGAGCAAGGTAGGGAAGCAGAAAAGGTCAGGTTTCCCAAAAGATGCACATGGTCTCCTATAGGTGATAAGCCCTTTAAGTTGCCCTGTTGGCTGGGATGGTGTCATCTGGCCACGGGACAGGGTATTACCATGGGTGCCAGCCTTCCCAGATGCTCCAGCCTCTTTTTGACTCCTCAGCCTCTCCTGTGTTCTGGATTCTTCAGTGTGGATGGGGGCACTAATCAGGAAGGTTGCCTGAACAGTGTGTTGGTAAGTTCAGTGTTGAGGGCTTACCAAGGAAGATGCTGTTTAGAGTTTTAGCTTGAGGTAGAGACTCTTATGATTCCAGTATCCCTGCACTGAGAGGAATGTATACTCTGAACAGTTGGAGGCCTGGAGGGACCCTGGCCTTGTGTACCAAGGTATGAGGGAGCTAGGTATAAGCAGGGAAACCTGGACAGTGCATCTGTTGTGCCTTCTTGTTTACTCTGCTCTCTGATACCTATCTTCAGAGTTAACAAATCTAGGGTAGACTAGATGATATTGATAACCAAATGTCCCTTGGTATCCAGATGGGCCCCTGTTCAACACATGTGAATCAGTGAAGGGTTTCCAAAAGACATGGTCCCAAAAGGGCATTGTGGTCTCTGCTTTAAAGACTGAAGCTGATTGGGTGGAGTGCTAAAAACCTCTAATGTAGCTGTGTGTTTACTAGTGACCATAAGGGGGCAGTAATCAGAGACTCTTGGCATCCCATGGACCTTGGCTGAGGACCAGAGCAGCTGGCTGAGAGCTCCTTTCAGGACTCCCCAGCTGTGATACTCTTCCTGAATCTGGGCACCTGTGATGAGTGGAACAGGGGTCCCAGGGCCTGAGTGTCTAAGACTGAGCCTTGGTGAAGGGTAGCCTGCCCTCTCTGAGCCAGTTCTGGCCAGCCCCCTGCCTTCTGCTGGCACTTTTGGCTGTCCATAGCTGCTCCTGGTATTTCCTTTCAGCCCTGCCCAAGAGCTGCCCTGTGGCTCACCCCACACTTCCTTCTAGAGGAGAAGTGAGGTTTTGATTCCGCTGTCTGGAGTTAAGCTTCCAGATCTTAGCAGAGAGGCCAGTAGGGCAGGAGACCCAAGTGGTTCAGCTACCACACTCAGTGTGTCAGCTAGAAAAGGAGGCCCTGTGCTGCTTCCTACAGAGTAACACCTTTTCTGGTTTGTGTGTGTGTGTTTGTTTTGAGACAGGGTCTCTGTACTCAAGGCTGTCTTAGGATTCGCTGTGTAGACCAGGCTGGCCTTTTAAATTCAGAGATCCACCTGACTCTGCCTATTGAGTGCTGGAATTAAAGCCATGCACCACCATGCTTGGTCCAAGGGTAGTGGTTCTTAACATTGCCTAAATTCTATCTGGAGACGTTTTGGTTGTTAGAATGGGGATTAGAGACAGCAGATATTGCTGGGCTCCTACAAGACAGGAGCACACTACCACACAATCCCACACATAGCATCAGTGCTGAGGATGAGATTGTTTCCTTCATCACATATCATGGGTCACTGGTCACTGTGTGAGTCATCCCTGTCCAATCTCCACCCCCATGCTTATGGCTTGGAAAACTTTACCCAGCCAGGATCTCAGCAGACAATTTGAGGATTATATTTTTATCTTTGCAGCTCTTTCCAGGCCACAAAGTGGCTATCCTTTCTTTCCTATAGGGCCTCCTCCCAGCCTTCTACCTTGTGGGATGCATAGCCCCTTCTTGGTATCTCCCTGTTCTGGGAAGATGCTATGAAGGAAGGCCTATCATTTGGTTCTGCTCCCAACTGATCAACCTGGCCCCTCCTAGCATAGTCATAGTTTAAGATTCTGGCCAGGCCATGGTTGCTAAGAGTAGTCTTCAACCCATGATAGGTACCCCATCTTTTGTACCAAGACTAAAAGCTGATAGCTACCTCAGTATGGCCTTTTGTGAGCTTATGTCCACCACATGCCTGCACAGCCAGCAGCATATTTGAGTACCTAGTGTGTTTCCTAACCAGTAAATGTGCAGGGTCTCCACATACACAAATTCCTAGCTCTACTGAGGAACTTTGGTCAGGGCACTGCCAACTCAGAAGCCCCTGCGTGGGATACAGTACAGCTGTTTGATGCAAGCCTGACTGACCTTCCAATGAGTTTTACTTCCCACTGTCAGGGAACTGTATGGCTGGCAAGGACAATATGTTCTAGATAGAGCAGAGCCTAGGAGGAGGATGGTCCCATTGAGTTAATCCATGGCTTGGGCTGTCCTGGCAAGGACATGGGTTAGGGTTGGAAGGTGAGAAAACATCCCTGTGTCTAGGGCTCATGTTGATGCCTTAGCAGGCTTTCTTGGACCACCAGCCCCCAAATCATGACATAAAGAGAATTCTTAGTAGTTATGAATGCGCAGCCTTATCTTATGCTTGTCCCTCTAGCTCTTAATTTAACCTGTTTTTCTTCATCTATGTTTTGCCTTGAGGATTTTTACCTTTCTTTCCTTCTGTATGTCCTATTTCCCTGCTTCCTCCATGTTTGACTGGCTGGCCCCTGGCTTCTCCCCCACCTCCCGCAAGACTCCTCTTCCTTATTCTTTCTGCCTAGCAGCCCCACCTATCCCTCTACTGCCTAGTTATTGGCTGTTAAGCTTTGTTGTTGTTCTTGTCATTGTTGTTTTGAGACAGGGTTTCTCTGTGTAGCTTTGGAGCCTTTCCTGGAACTCACTCTGTATCCCAGGCTGATCTTGAACTCACAGAGATCCTCCTGCCTCTGCCTCCTGAGTGCTGGGATTAAAGGCGTGTGCCACCACCACCCGGCTAGAAAAGCTTTTTTAACATGATGAGCAGGAACCAATGAATGAAGGGCCTGGAGCCATTTATGCTTTTCAAAGACATGTATTTATTTTCTCCCCCGCTCCTCCCCCCCCCCACCGGAGCTGAGGACCAATCCCAGGGCCTTGTGCTTGCTAGGCAAGCACTCTACCACTGAGCTAAATCCCCAACCCAACATGTACATAATACCTATGTCCTTCAACTATACCTTCCTAACCTTCCTAAACACATGATTTTTGTGGCAGAACAGTTTATTTTCAAGCTACAATACACCTGGACAGTATGATTCTTTTGTCCTCTGGTGTCCACGTGTGTACCATGATAGCTTGCATGCACAGTAATAAACCTAGAACCAAAGAGGAGAACTCTGAAGTCTGACTTTATATACTTGCTCAAACCATGAAATCCCAAGTAAAGTAATTCTGGGCATTAAGTCTCCAGGGAGCTTCCTAGTTGGTAAAGTGCTTGAGATACTTACCTTTTCTCCACAAGGATTAAGGATCTTGTCCTTGAGACTCTTCCATACTTTGCCCTATGTTGTACTTTCCCATTAATCAGCTGTATCCTTTACAATAAAACTAGTCAAAGAAAAAAAGGGGTGTGTGGCAATTTCTATAGGTAGGTAGGAGAGAACCTACCCTGAGTTACTGCATGATAGAAGACCACAAGATAAAAGGTAGCCAGAGGGTGTTATGCAGGCAAAGGGTGACCATGTAGACAAGGGGACTGTGTGGACCAGTAGTGCTGCATAGATGGGTAGAGGCACTATGGCTGGAAGAAGCATCAAGATCCTCCAGCCTTGGTTATGCTGTCTAGTTAACACCATATTTAGCATATACAAGCCATTTCTGCCAAGTCTTGCCAGAATTCCTTATTGGCAGATCACAAACAGTAAAATGTAGACATTAGAAAACCTGGAGAGATGGTCAGCAATTAAGAGCACTGTTCTTGCAGATAGCCTGAATTCAGTTAGAAGACATTGCCTTGTTGGGTTATGTTTGTTTTGTTCATTTCTACAGAGCAATGAGAATATTTTCCATCAACTTCAGCGTGGATCCAATAATACTTTGGGTTATAACCCAATAGTACTTTTTGTGCCCATGTTTTTCATTGGCCAGAGTTGTGGCCACTTTTTTTTTTTTTTTTTTTTCAGACAGGGTTTCTCTGTAGCCTTTGCTGTTCTGGAACTCACTCTGTAGACTAACTAGGCTGTCCTTGAACTCACAGAGATCCACTTCCCTCTGCCTCCGAGTGCTGGGATTAAAGGCATGTGCCACCATTGCCTGGGGACACACTCCATTTTTATTGTTATCAAGAGGACTTGCTTCCTGTTTCAAGATATGAAACACTGTAGATTTATTATTTATTTTTTCCTCCTGATCCTATAATAAGCTGCTTCTAAGGAGCCATTATTTGTTTTTCAGAGAAACCAGGGTCTGAGCACTGGGTGGGTTGCTGCTCTGGGACTGCTGCATGGTTCTGTTACTTGACAGAAATAGAAAATACATGTTATAATGATCAACTTAAATGCACAATATGAATTCCACACCTCTACGTAATTGATAATTGAGCTAACAAGGTCTTATCAAGGTCTCTGTAGCTGGAGTTGAACTTCATATAAGTTGTTCAGGCCTCTCCCGTTCATCTGTAACTTCTCATTCCAACTAGCAAGGATCTGGGTTCCCCATCTACTACCCCTTGACTTTTCAGGTTCCATGTGCATGCATGCACAACAACATATCAGAATGGCTGTCAATTAAGGTGCAGTCCTTGAGTGCAGTTCTCTGCCTTCAGCAGCCTGACAGACATGTTCCTCAGATACCATGTCAGCGTTCCCTTTCTCCCTTCAATGCTGTTATACCATTTGTAATACGTTAAGATACTTTTATGTAGCTAGACGGTGGTAGCACACGCCTTTAATCCCAGCACTTGGGAGGCAGAGGCAGGCAGATCTCTGTGAGCTTGAGGCGATCCTGGTCTACAGAATGAGTTCCAGGATAACCAGGACTGTTTCACAGAGAAATTCTGTCTTGAGGGAAAAAAAAAAAAAAAAAAGGTACTTTTGTGGGGCTGGGTGGTGATGGTATACACTTTTAGTCCCAGTACTTGGGAGGAAGAGGCAGGCAAATCTCTGAGTTCAAAACCAGCCTGGACTACATAGTGAGAGCCTGGGCTACATAGTGAGTTCCAGGACAGCCAGAGCTTCACAGGTAAACCCTGTCTCAAAAAACCAAAACCAAATAACAAAAAGATACTTTTGTCACATTTGGCTTTATGTCTTAGGAATTCCTCTCCAACCTCCTAAACAAGTTTCATTTTTAATTTACATATTTAAGATTCATAGATGGCAACCACACTGGGGAGGCAGAGGCAGAGGCAGGCAAATGTCTGTGAGTTTGAGGCCAGTTTGGTCTACATCAGTGGTTCTTAAACTTCCTAACGCTGTGACATTTTAATACAGGTCTTCATGTTGTGGTGACCCTCAACCGTTGCTACTTCATAACTGTAATTTTGCTACTGTTATGAATCATAATGTAAATATTTTTGGAGACAGAGGTTTTGCCAAAGGGGTTGCAACTCACAGGTTGAGAACCTCTGGTCTATATAATGAGATTACATAGAGAGACTGTCTCAACAACAACAAAGATTTGGGCCTGGGCATTGTGGCTCATACTTGTAATTCCAGCACTGGTAGGTAGGGGCAGGAGAATCACCTAAAATTCCAGGCTATCCTGGTCTACACGGTAAAGTCCAGGCCAGCCAGTGTTACATAACATAGCAAGACCCTATCTCAGAGAAGGTGGGTGGCAGTGAGATGGTTTAGTGGGTAAAAATGCTTGCCCTACAAGCCTGATAACTTGAGTTTGATCCCTGGAACATGGTGGGAAAAGAACCAGTTCCCAAAAGTTGTCCTCTATTTTATTGATGGATTGTGGCCAACAAGACAGTTCACCAGGTAAAGGTGCTTGCCACCAAATCTGAAAACCTGAGTTCCATTCCCAGACACCGCAGTGCTTTGTACATTGTGACATGTACACTGTGACATAGATGCCACAGCATACACACAAATAAATGGATTGGTGGGGTGTCAGTGGTCAAGTGCTTTCAGAACATGTGTAAAGCCTGGGGTTCAACCTATAATGCCAAGAAAATAACTTACTGTGTAAACCAGGCTGCCCTCCAGCTCACAGAGATCTCTTTGCCTCAGGCTCCCAAATGCTGGGATAACAGGCTTGTGCCATCATGCCTGGATTTTTGCTTTTTGTTTTAGATGATGTCTCACTATGCAGCTTTGGCTGATTTGGCACCCACTATGCATACCAACCTGGCTTTGCCTCCTGAGTGCTGGGATTAAAGGTGTGTGCTACCATACCTGACACAGCAACAATAATAAAACCGATGAGGGCTGGGCGGTGGTGGAACACTCCTTTATTTATTTATTTATTTATTTATTTATTTATTTATTTATTTATTTATTTATTTATTTATTTATTTATTTACTTGCTTACTTATTTACTTATTTATTTATTTATCCATTTATTTATTTATTCATTTATTTATTTTTTATTTTTTAAAAAGATTTATTTATTGTGTATACAATGTTCTGCCTGCATGTATCCCTGCAGGCCAGAAGAGGGCACCAGATCTCACTACAGATGGTTGTGAGCCACCATGTGGTTGCTGGGAATTGAACTCAGGACCTCTAGAAGAGCAGTCAGTGCTCTTAACCTCTGAGCCATCTCTCCAGCCCCAGCATACTCCTTTAATCCCAGCACTCTGGACCCTAGAAGAACCAACAGACATTCAAGTGACTATTTCTAGGAAATGGGTCAGAACTCATAGAAAACATTCTGGGGGTGCAGTTTAGTGGTGGAGTGCCTGCTATGATCTACAAGGGCTTGGTTTCAACTCCTTCATGAAAATCTCCCTAACCAGATTGAGGGTAGAATGGTGAACGTTATGGTCTAGAGTGTATGTGAACCATCTATCCTCCACCTCTTGGACATGAGGGGTCCAAACAGATCCTAGCACAATCCAGATGGACTTTTGGCCCAGCAGTTTGTCCATATTGGCCCCTATCATACCCAATCCTTACTGAGAAACCAGGGACTATGGAAACCAGGGGCTATCCTTATGAAATGAATACTTGTTTCTGCTACCATGGAATTGTATTGGTCCCCCACTGCTGTACAAGAAGTCACATTTGTTACCTCACAGTTCCATGGTCTAGCCCTGCTCAAAGTCTCAAAAGCCTGATGTCAGAGTAGCTCCAAAGAATGGAGGCCCACTTCTAGACCACCTGCAGAATCTGATTCCTCCAAGTTGTAGGGATGAAGACTTGGCTGGGGTCTAGGACTATCTCAGCTCCCAAAGGTCACCCCCAGACCTTGTTCTGTTGCCCACCCAGTGGGATTCTTAACTCTAGGGAACTGCTCCCCCTGGATTGGAGGGAATAGCTCTTTGCATCTGCTCTGGTAGAAGCTTTGCCACCAAAGCAGGGACATTTTCTCACTTTTTAATGTTATGTAGCCTGATCAAGTGTGTATATGACTATGCTGCGTGCTCACACTCACACAGGGGACTCCATGGTGCAGACACCAATGGCTGTAGTCTTGTGGATTCTTTGAAATCTACTCACCATGAGGACTTGATAGGGACCATTTTCTTGTCTGTCCATGGTAGCCCTAAACCACTTCAGTATTTCTGTGTGCCATCAGGCCAACCTCTAGCCAGATGGCTATTCTTGTTTCATTTATTTTAAAACAGGTTCTTACTGATGATGATCCTCCTGATTCATCCTCTTGAATGCTGTAGTAACAGGCATGTGCCACTATGCCCATCCACTTCTGTCATTTAGAAATGATCATAAGGGGCTGGAGAGATGGCCTAGTGTTTTAGAGCACTTGTTGCTCTTACAGAGGACCCAGGTTTGATTCCGAGTGGCCATGGGAGGCTAACAACTACCCGTAGCTCCAGTTCCAGAGGATCTGATGCCCTCTTCTGGCCTCTGAGTGCACTGCAGGTAGTACAAGGCCATATGCAGGTGAGAAATCTATACACAAAAAAATACATTAAATATTTTTTAAATGATCATAAGCCAGGTAGAGTGTAGCAGGAATCTTAAAAGTTCTTATTAATAAAATCAAACCTGAGCCAGGTATTGGGTTGAACACTGGAAGATCAGAGAGACAGAACAAGCCACAGCTAACCTCACCTGGCCAACTTCTCAGCTGGTCTTGTTTCCTCAGACTGGAAGCTTCTGTGTTCTCATCCCAATGGCTCTCAGCTGAACTGCTGCTCGAAATCCTGAACGCTTAACCAGTCAAATGCTTCTAGTTCCTGGTCTTCACGCCTTATATATCTTGCCTTTCTGCCATCACTCCCTGGGATTAAAGGCTCACTTCTTGGGATTAAAGGCGTGTGTCACCATGCCTGGCTGTTTCCAATGTGGCCTTGAACTCACAGAGATCCAGAGGGATTTCTGTCTCTGGAATGCTAGGATTAAAGGTGTGAGTGCCACCATTTTCTAGCCTTTGTATCTAGTGGCTCTTCTGTTCTCTGACCCCAGATAAATTTATTAGGGTGCACAATATTTTGGGGAACACAATACCACCACAGGTATAGTGGTGCATTCTTTTAATCCTAGCACTTGGTATGCAGAGGCAGGTGGATTTCTGTAAATTGGAGTCCAGTCTGGTCTATATAGTGAGTTCCATGACAGCCAGAGCTATGTAGAGAGACCTTGTCTCAAAAAAATAAAAAAATAAATAAAAAAGGGGGCTGGAGAGATGGCTCAGTGGTTAAGAACACTGGCTGCTCTTCCAGAGGACCCAGGTTCAATTCTCAACACCCACATGGCAGCAAACAACTGTCTATAATTCCAGTTCTGGGTGATCCAACATCCTCACACACAGACATATATGTAAGCAAAAAAACCAATGCACATAAAAAAAGTTGATTAAAAAAATAAATTAATGAATAGATGATAAAAGATAAGTATGCTGGTCTATCAACAGGGCAAGGGCTGGTGCATCCATCTAATTTAGCACTGAATCTTGAATGCTTGGTGGGTGTTCAGAAAGTGCTGGATAAATGAAGACCAATGTGGGTCTTTATGGATGAGTAACAGTAGATGCATAAGCAACTCTCAGTTTGTGCCTGTGTCTGGTCTGAATATATTCCATGGGACCATAAGAAGCCTGTGGTGGGGCAGTTGGACCTGACTGAATCGCTGGTCCTGTGGTTTTTCTTCCCAATGAGCCGGGCTGCCTGGAATGTCCAAGTCACCAGGAATAGGAGCCAACATCAGATTCTTAGTCTTTGTGCCTAGTGGGCTGGCTGATACCTCTTGTCTGGCCACACCCCTAAAAGAAGAAAATAAGTCTAGGGCTCTGGGTTGGCTGAGGCTTTGCCAAAGTACCATGAGGTCAGTGGTTTTGCTTTGCCCTGGTCTGTTCTTTTCCTAGAGGGACAAAGATTCTAGATGGGGCTGGGAAGCAAGGAGCAGGGAGCTGGGGGCTCCACAGTACAGACTGAAAAGGAGCTGGAGTGGCCCAGGCCCCCCTTGACTGTGGGAGGGGCAGGTGGCTTGGTTAGCAGCCCAGGCTGCCTGCTTGGCTCCAGTTCTTGTCTGTGGCTATTTCCTGCTTAAGGATGTGGTGGGGGAGGGGGGGGGGCTGGGAGGAGGGCAAACAGGCCTCTGCTCTCCATCTTGACTCCTCTGGCCTAAAGTAGAGGATGGGGGGAAGAAGGTGTTGGCCAAGGGTCATCTGTTCCCATGTGTGTCTCTAGGGAGTCAAGGCTCCCATAGATATCAGTATCTGGCCTGTAATCTGGAAGTAAGTTATTGGGATTTGTAGTTTGAGAGTTCCCCAAGTCTGCAAGCCCTGAGTCTGCAAAGGGAAGACCTGGGCAGAGGTATGGAACAGGTGTCCCAGACTCCTAATACACTCTTCCTCTGTCCTTGAACCTTGTCAACACTCATATTTAGGATCAGGCCTGGGGCCACCTCTGTGTCCTTTTATCGCTTCCTGAACACTCTCCTTCCATGGAAAGAAACAGGATAAAGGATAGCCTAGGACAACCATGGGAGAGTAGAGAGGGGAGACAGATATAGCAGAAGTCAACCTCCTGAGTATGGGGTAGAGACACACACTGTGGCAAGTGAGGCATCCACACCACTTAGAAAAGCAGAAGGGAAGGTCAGAACAGGGGAATTGAGGGATGGCCTGCTGGGTGGGACTTGTTTTTCCAGAATAAAAGGCCCAGGGAAGAGCTGGGGGCCAAGTTCATGCTCTGCCTGGCCCAGATCCTGGATGGCTGGCTGCCTTAGGTCCTGAGGGACTTCCTATAGCCTCACAGCTGGTCCTCCCTGTTTCCCCCTCCCCTCCAATAGCCAGCTAGGCTGAGGTTCTGGCTTGTCTGAGGACTTGGGGACCCCACCCCAGCCTCCAGGGATAGGGCCTGTACCTATTACTATCCAAAGAAGTGGCCTAGACTGCTTAAGGGCTTCTGAGGTTTTTTGGATTCTTTTCCTTTCTTGTTCTGAGGTTTGCTTAACTAGCAGGAGTGGGCTGGTACACAGTGCTGCTCTGTTATTTCCCATTTGTTTATATGACTTTGTTTTCCCAGAGCTTCAAATTTGTGCTTTCTGTTGGGAGAGTTCCACTCCCCTTTCCTCCAAGTGGAGGTTTCCCAGATCATAGTAATTCAGTCCTGGTTTCAGGACTCTGGGTTTGCCTTATGAATGTGGACAGCTCTAGTCGTCAGGCCATGAGGAAAGTCTGACCACACTCACACTCTGTCCTCAGTGCCCAGAGGTCCTACCACGCACCTCCCTAGTTGGCTGTTCTTTGTTTTGTTTGAGACAGGGTCTCACTATGTGTAGCCATGGCTGCTCTGGAATTCACTATGAGGATCATGTTGGCCTCAAACTCATAGAGCTCTGCCTCTGCCTCTCAAGTGCTAGAATTAAAGGTGTGGGCCACTGTGCCTGCCTTTCTTGATCCTAGAGATAAGTGGACCATAGTGTCATCATGTGGTCTGCAGGTAGCCCACCATGGTCCCAGAGAAGGGCATAGTAAAGTCACCCTCATCTAAATTGGAACTGGAAGAGCCACCTGATCTGGCAAGGAGAATACAAGAATGGAGAAAGCAGTCCAGGTTTTCTGGCCTGGCTGACCACATGGGAGAATGTCAAAGCCGGGGATGCAGATCATTCACCTTCAAACACCAGTTCTGCTGCAGCTCAGAAAGTTTACCAGATGCTTGGCACCCACATGGCCTCAGGAATCCTCACATTCAGGCCTCTTCATCTGTCCTAGGACTGAGCTACTGCCCCACCCAAGGGCTGTCCGGTGACTGGCTGAGCATTTACACAGACCCTCCCACCTTCTAGGCCTGGACCGGGTGGCTGCAACACAACAGGCCAGCCAAGGATGGGGGAGGCCAACAGTAGAGCAGCACAGTGGGCGGGGCACAGACCCGGCCTACAGCTCCGTGATGTCAGCGGGTGCTGGCAGGGAGAGGGGGTCGGCTGTTTTTCTGGAGAGTTAGAGCTGAGTAAGACAAAGCACAGCGCGGTCCCTGCTGGCGCCATGGAACTGCTGTCCTGTGTCTTGCTGTGGAAACTGGTGCTTCTTCAGAGTGAGTGTGAGAGATGGGACTGTGTGTGGGACAGTGAGTTGATGAACTCTCTGTGTTTAGGCTGGGAGGGGTAGGGAGCACTCATCAAAGAAAAGGACCAGGCTGGTGCCTCAAAACAGCAATTCACTTTCAATCATGAAGCCTTCAGGTACTCTAACAAAAATCCCAGAGGCCCTAACTAGGGAGGATGTAGCCAAGGGTGCCTCCTGTACCCATTCTTTGTGTGACTACAGTGTCAGCTGCTCAGGGTGCAGTCCTCCCAGATGTGGGGAGGGGAGTCAGTGGGGCTGACAACTAAGGGGCTAATAGAATCTGTTCCAACGCCTTCTTCAGGGCCCCTAGGCCCTGCCTACTCTGGCCTGCTGACCAGGCACATTTTTCCTAGAAGCCTGGGCCCTAAGCCACTTCTCCACAGCACTGTCTTGGGCCAGTGGTGGCAGATCAGGACTTACTCCCCATGTCACCTGTTGGGACTGTAGCAGGGGGCCATGCTGCACCCAGGGTGGGGTGTGTAGGACAGGGCTATGAATGCCCGAGGGCTGAAGGTTCCTAAAGGTTCAGCACAGATGCATATACTACTGCTGGTTGCCTCAGTGTCCTGCTGGAGCAGTTCGGAAGGACTTGTTGCTATGATGTGGCAATGGTTACTTCAAGTTCACAGTTCAGAACAAGACTGCAAAGAGTCACATCCTTCCCTACTACTCACGGCCAGATTTCTTGGTTTCCCACTTACCAGAGCTGTCTGTATAGCCAGGAAGGTGACACTAAGGTGTTACCTGCAGTTTCCCTACCAGAACTAGTTAAGTGGGCATCATGGCAACAAACTGCCATGACTGCGGGACGCCCCAAGTGGTCTTCCAACTGGTGGGTCCTGGGATGCAAAGGTGAAAAATGCCTACAGCTTTATTCTTCCTCTCCTTCCAGGCCTTGAAGTCCTTCTGTACTCAGGTTAGTATCCCATACCCAGCTGTGGGCCAGGCCCCTTTAGAGTCCACTTCTCTCCTAACCCATCCTGCCTCCATCTTGACTTTTGCCGCTGACTCCCTCTTCCCGACAAGGGCCCTCAGGGACCGCAACAGCCAGCAGTTCTGTGGTGTCTGAGTCCGTAGTGAGCTGGGCAGCCGGAACCCAGGCGGTGCTGCGCTGCCAGAGCCCGCGCATGGTGTGGACCCAAGACCGACTGCATGACCGCCAGCGCGTGGTCCACTGGGACCTCAGCGGAGTCCCGGGCAGCCAAGGGCGCCGACTCGTGGATATGTACTCGGCGGGTGAACAGCGCGTGTACGAGCCGCGCGACAACGGCCGCCTCCTGCTGTCGCCTTCTGCCTTCCACGACGGCAACTTCTCACTGCTCATCCGCGGTACGCTGTGGAACCGTGGTGGGGCTGAAACTTTGGCAGGAGTAGAAACATTGGCAGGGGGCGGACACAAACCTTTGACGAGGCTAGGCCTATGAAAGGGTGGAGCCTTGGAAAGGCGGGGCCATGGAGGGGACAGAACCATTTAGGGAGGGGCTATGGAGGAAGATGGGTCCCACACGCTGAGGTTATCTTCTGCGAAGCAGCTGTGGAGGAGGGCGACGAAGGGGTGTACACCTGCAACCTGCACCACCACTACTGTCACCTCTACGAGAGTCTGGCCGTGCGCCTCGAGGTCACCGACGATCGTGAGTGTGCCCCTCACCCTCCTTTGCTACTGCCATCCCTGCCCCAGCCCGTCTTCCCCTTCCTCACCTCTGCGGGGCAGTGATCTGGCTGCCTCTCTCAATGCATCCGCAGCCCTGTTAGCTCGCGCTTACTGGGACGGCGAGAAGGAAGTGAAGGTGGTGGTCCGCGGCGCGCCGGCTCTGATGACTTGCGTGAACCGTGAGCACTTGTGGACTGACCGCCACTTAGAGGAGGCGCAGCAGGTGGTCCATTGGGACCGACAGTTACCTGGGGTGCCACACGACCGCGCTGACCGCCTGCTTGACCTGTACGCATCTGGCGAGCGCCGAGCCTACGGGCCATCCTTCCTGCGTGATCGTGTGGCAGTGAATGCCGACGCTTTTGCACGTGGCGACTTCTCCCTACGCATAGATTCTCTGGAGCCGGCTGACGAGGGAATCTATTCCTGCCACCTGCACCACCACTACTGCGGCCTGCACGAGCGCCGGGTCTTCCACCTACAGGTCACCGAACCTGTCTTGGAGCCACCTGCTCCTGCCTCTCCCAGTAATGGGTCTGGCCACAACAGCGCTCCTGGCCCAGGTGTGTGCAAGTGTGCAGCCTGCGGGCACCGAGAAGGGGTATTGCTGAGAGTTTCTTCCTTCCTTTCCTTCTTTCTTTCTTTTCTTTTCTTTTTTTTTTTTTGGTATTAGTTTTTGTTTTTCGAGGCAGCGTTTCCTTGTGTAGCCTCAGCTGTCCTGGAACTAGCTTTGTAGACCAGGCTGGACTTAAACTCAGAGATCCGCCTGTCTCTGTTTCCTGAGTGCTGGGATTAAAGGCAGCTCCACCACACCTGACTCATGGAGGGTTTCTGATGCTTGCTACTTCCCTGTAGATCCCACGCTGGTAAGTAGATCCCGAGGCCACAGTGTCATCAACGTCATTGTCCCAGAGAACCACGCGCATTTCTTCCAGCAACTGGGCTATGTGTTGGCCACGCTACTGCTATTCATTTTGTTGCTCATCACCGTAGTCTTGGCTACACGCCATCGTCATCGTGGAGGTAAGGCAGGGCCCTTAGAACAGAGGGGCCCAGATTGACTGAGGACAGTGAGACTGACTTGATATTCCTCTCTTCACAGGATGCGGGACTTCAGACAAAAAAGCTGGGAAACTGAAGGGGTGAGTTTGCTTGCCCAGCCCTCCTCCCAGACCTGCCCTGCCCTGCCCTCCTACACTGCCATCTCCCTTTAGGAAGGACGTGAACATGATGGAGTTTGCTGTGGCCACAGGGGACCAGGCTCCTTATAGGACTGAGGACATCCAGCTAGGTAGGAGTGAGGGCCACAAGGGTCCAGGGGAAGTGCATTTTTGGGTGGGACTTATTCTTTTCTTCTAACCAGATTACAAGAACAACATCCTGAAGGAGAGGGCTGAGCTGGCCCACAGTCCCCTGCCTGCCAAGAATGTGGATCTGGATAAAGGTGAGCAGTGGAGGGAGACCCCAACATCCCGCCATCCCACATGTGACTCTACCCATTCCCGGGACCCTTTGGATAGGAGACCCCTGCCATCTTTTCTGAGAAGGCCTTGGGAAGTCATGCCAAATGTCTTCCTGACTTTCCCACTGGGACTAAGGGACAGAAAGTAGACACTAGCCATTTTCTTGGCTTCCAGAGTTCAGAAAGGAGTACTGCAAATAAATGGATCCTGAGCTTCTGGCTGGGTCAGTAGCTCTGCATCAAAGGATGTCTCCATGACCCTCCTGTGGCACTCCTGGCTTCTTCTCAGCGGCTGGTCCCGCTTTCCTATAAACTTGGCCTGAACTTGGCACTTTGTTCTTCCAAGAATCACCCTCATCTTGGTGAGCAACTATGGGTTCCCTAGGGACTCTGATATAGTATAGTTGCTGCCCACTGGTTGGGAGTACAGCCTGTGCCCACTGGTGGCTGTACTCCCAGCTTTGACACAACAGACATAGATCCCTTGTTAATGTACACCAAATGGACATTCTCTCGTGGCTTCTTCCTGCTAGGGCCAGGAAGCCACTTAAAGATAGTTAAGTCACCAGTTCAACATGTTAGCCATTGTCTTGGAGAGCCCCCAGGGTCTTCCAGGACTCACTATGCCTATGCATTACTCAGAGCCCTGCTGTCATATGTTCTGACTCGTGGGCCCTCCTTGCTGCTTTGGGCCACTGGGAGCTGGCCCATTGCCCCTTTTCTGCTTCTGATCCCTTTCTGCTGAATACCTTCCAAGAGTTGCTGGGTACCATGTGACTCTTGGCCTTGACATCCCTCCCTTTCTGGAGTCTGGGATTGGGGCTCCATTTGTCCTCTATTTTGGCTGAAGATGGGGGAAGAGGGTTCTGAGTGGCCTGTGCTGCCACACCAAACAGCTCCTACTGGGGAAGTTTTCATGTCATAATAAAAACACTTCTGATTTTTAGCCTTGGCCCTGCTGTTCCTCTTCTGTTCAGGGAGGACATATCTCCCAGGTGCTCTCATAACCTTCATTTGAGTTCCATTGTCCTTCCCTACCCCCTCGAGTGGAAGGTCTATGTCTAGGTCCTTCTAGGATCAAATGTACTATGACACAGGAGCCCGTTTCCCATGGTGAAGGACTTTCGGTCCCTTTTCCAAATGTGTGTGTGGACAGGAAGGAGTGGGGAGTATACAATGACAGAGATAGGACATAGAAGGAAATGGTGCTGACCCAGTTTTTTTTATTTTTTTTATTTTTTATTTTTTGGTTTTTCGAGACAGGGTTTCTCTGTGTAGCTTTGGCGCCTTTCCTGAAATTCACTCTGTAGCCCAGGCTGGCCTGGAACTCACAGAGATCCACCTGGCTGTGCCTCCTGCGTGCTGGGATTAAAGGTGTGTTCCACCACTGCCTGGCCACTGGCCCAGTTCTTTGAGAAGCAGATGCCATGATGGAGTAAAAAGAAGCAAAGACAGGCAGGAAGGCTCCCCAAGGATACAGGTCTGAGGAGATTCCATCAGAAAGAGCCCCAAGAGGCAGGGCTTGGCCAACAGGATCAGGTGTTGGTTTTCAGGTTCCCCTAGGGTTTAGTCATGACTGGGCACTGGCTGTGTAACCTCAGCAGACCAAGGTGAAAAAGCAGCTAAGAAAGGGCACAGACTTCTATCCCCCACCCGCCTTAGAAAGATTTATTTATCATGTATACAGTGTTCTGTCTGTGTGCATGCCTGCAGGCCAGAAGAGGGCACCAGATCTCATTATAGATGGTTGTGAGACACCATGTGGTTGCTGGGAATTGAATTCAGGACCTCTGGAAGAGCAGCCAATGCTCTTAACCTCTGAGCCATCTCTCCAACCCCCTCCCACTCTCTCTTTTAAAAAATTTAAAAATTTGGGATTGAAGAGATGGCTCAGCAGTTAGGAGCACTGACTGCTTTTCCAGAGGACCCAGGTTCAATTTCAGGCAGCCACATGGCAGCTCACAACTTTCTGTAACTCCAGTTCCAGGGTAGCCAACACCCTCACACAGACATACATGCAGGCAAAATACCAATGCACATAAAAATAAATTATATATAATCTTAATTTTTATCATTTTATATATATGGGTGTTTTGCCTGCATGTATGTCTGTGTACCACGTGTGTGCAATGCTCATGGAGGCCCAGGTGTTTGCTTATTTGTTTGTCTTGAGACAAGGTCTCACTATATAGCCTGGTCTGGAACTCATAGAGATGCATCTGCCTCTGCTTTCCTAGTGCTAGGATTGGATTAAAGGCATATGCCATCACATCCTGCTTTTTTTTTTTTTTCACTTATATTATGTGAATGTTTGTAGATAAGTGAATGGCATGAATGTAGAGGTCAGAGGATAAGTTGCAGGACTCTATTCTCTCCTTCCTTGGGTGGGCTTTAGCCTGCACTATGTGGGTCCTGGAGTTCAAACTCAAGTCATCAGACTTAACAGCAGGCACCTTAAATAGCTAAGCCATCTTATTGGTCCCATTTCTTCACTCTTGCCCCCCTCCAGTGCTCTCTCAAGAATAGTGAGGATAGGAAAGGATGACAATCACCCACAAGGACCTCAGTGACCTGTTGAGGTATAGTTTGAGGATGTACCTCTCACACTAGTGGCCTTTGAACCCATCAGTGCTAGACAAGACCACTCCTAAAAAGGTACAAGCTCTGGCCTCACATCCACCTCTTTTACAGTGACCCAACCTGCCCCTGTCAGCATCAGCATCAGTACCAAGACTCCTACCAGGCTTCTGGTTTCTAGTTCCTATTATTTGTGGTGTCAGATGGGAACCAAGGGCAGCTGGGCTGTGAGGACCCTTGAATATGAGTGCTTCTGACCAATAGATCAGTAGCATCTTGTATCTGGCCAGAGGGGCACTCAGAAAAGGGACTATCTTCTTTCTCCCTCTTGAGCTGACCCTTTGAAGCCACCTCGCCTGGCTTCTTCAGGTTACTTCTGTAAAGATTCAAGGAAGAGGGCCAGCTGCTAGCAAAGGGAGTATGGGTTCCTAGGATAGCAGGCCTCTTTTGGGAGTAAGGGATTAAAGGGAAGAACTCTGCTTAGACTGACTTCACTGGCCTTTAGTATACATTCAATGCCTTCTGACTAACTTCTGGGTCCTCCAGGCAGTGGTGGGATCTTTCCTTGTGCTGGTATAGTGTCTGGGGATGGTTCTAGGTCACAATAGGCAACCCTTGTCTCTATCACTGACCAGTATCTTATGCATTACCCTACTCTTATTACTGGCCAGCAAAGGGCCTTGTGCCATCCTGGAGTAGGGGAGGCCTTTAGCCTAGCAAGGCTACTGGGTCAACTCTATAGGTTAAGGGGCATCCTGGTCTTCCTTGGCCTGGGGATGACACCTGGTTTTTTATTTTGGTTTTGGTTTTTCGAGACAGGGTTTCTCCATGTAGTTTTGGTGCCTGTCCTGGATCTCACTCTGTAGACCAGGCTGGCCTCGAACTCACAGAGATCTGCCTGGCTCTGCCTCCCGCGTGCTGGGATTAAGGGCATGAGCCACCACCACCCAGTGACACCTGGTTGTTTTGATCTACAATGTCCAAGGCAAAATCCCTCTGGCTTCAGTCGCAGCTTGGACCTTGCCTGGACACTTGTACGCACATCTGCATCACCACTCGTATTCACTCATTTGAGTTTCTTGGGAGATCCGATGCGACAAGGCAGTGGGCATAAGAACTGAGCTCAGGATTAGCGTGGGGTGCAGTAAGGCTCTAGCTGTCTTGGGCTAGACATAGGTATCTTTAAATTCTTGGGGAGCGCCCGAAGCACCCCAGAGTAGCCAGTGCCTCCGGATTCCGGGCACTGGCATTGGGTCGGAGAACCGGACTGGCCCAGCCCTACGGTGCTCCTCTACTCCATGGCAGATTTTATTGGCTCAAAGGGCTCAACCTCTTCAGGATCCCTCTTGCCTTTCTGGGGCCGAGCGTGCCCATTTGCCCACAAACCCCCGACCTAGACACCGCACAGATTCCTGCCTATTGGGAATCTAGGCGAGCGCAGGGTAAGGCTTTTGGCTCCTGCCTAGGGGAACTCAGAGCCCCGCCCCACGCTACTACACAGACCTAACTAGCTGGCAGGCTTCCGGAACCCGCCCAGTCCCATCCCGGTTGCCCAGCTTGCGTGCATGCCTAGTCCAACCCCGAACCCTCCCTGCGCGTGCGTAGCCCCGCCCCACCTGCGCTACGGGCGTCTAGTGACGTCATCAACTCTGGAGCGCCCTCTGGTGGCTCCGGGCTCAACCCCACCAGGCGGTTCTTGGAAAAGCCCGAGGGGGCGGTGGGCGGCAATAACCCTCTGAGCTGCTTCCCTCGCGCCCGCTCCGGGGCTGGCAGTGGATGGGCGGCCGCGGGCCGCGGGGCAACAGGCGGGGAACGGGTGCGAGCTGGGACCGGGCGGGGCGGGCGCGCAAAGGGGCCGCGGGGCGGCCGGGCGGGGCGCGGGCCGGCGGTTTGGGAGGACGCCCCGCGTCCAAGAGGTGAGCCGGGCCCTGACGCTGCGCGGGTTCCGCGTCGCTGTTGCCGCGCCATGGCGGAGACCAAGATCATCTACCACATGGACGAGGAGGAGACGCCGTACCTGGTCAAGCTGCCGGTAGCTCCCGAGCGCGTCACCCTGGCGGACTTCAAGAACGTGCTCAGCAACCGGCCGGTGCACGCCTACAAATTCTTCTTCAAGTCTATGGACCAGGACTTCGGGTCAGTGGGCCGCGCGGCCTGGGCGGGAGTGCTGGCCCTTTCCCGCGCGTGTGCGGTGGCTGCGGGGTCTCTGCACGGGCACGAGCTGGCACCTGTCTGCGCGGGCAGGGCTTTCGGGTTTGGGGACGTCAGAGAGCGCCCCCGGCGCCGGCAACCCTGTCGCGCATCTATAGCAGGTGTAGGTTGAGCCTCTGCGCCTTGGTGATCCTTGGTGTATGTACTCACCTGTCTGTGGCAAGCTAGGGATCCGAGTCCTTGACTACCCTCTAGGTAGGCCAGAGAGTTCTGTTTGATGGACAGGCGAGGGCCCAGGCTTCCTGATCGCCATCCGGTGGTGCCCCTGTGCCCAGCTGGCCCAGGTTGGGTGTCGAAGGCCACCCTCAAAGCCACCCCCCTTCTCTCTGGCCACCCTCAAAGCCATCCCCCCCCCCCCCCCCTTTCTCTGGTCAAGCACAGGGTCTGTTGCATTCCTTTCTATGGGTGGAAACCCGGGGCTCATGGCTGCCTGGAGGTTGTGCAGTTTATGGGGGCTAGGATCAAGGGGAAGGGTTGGGGGTTTGTGGCTCCCAGCACCCACTGGATCTTCCAGTTGAGATGGGGTAGTATGGAATGGGTGGGTCATAGGCACTCATTTGTTTTCTGGAGCTTAGAAAAGTTTCTGAAGCCTGAAGACAAACTACTTGTAGAGTTCCTGTGGCAAGGCAGAGGTCAAGGGTCACTGGAGACTAAGAAGCTTCACTCAGTATAGCCTGCCCTCTTGGTTCCTGGCTCCTGTGCCTCTGTCCTTTCTGAACCACACAGCATTTGCATTCCTGGGATGTGCTCAGGTTATCTTCTGACTTGAGCCAGATTCTAAGGTAGTGTGTTTCCTAGCTGCACTGCTGTGGTGGCTGTTCAGGGCCTCTGGGACAGGGAGCCAGGGACTGGCAGTGCAACAGAGGCCTGACAGGGCATAGCCACAGAAACCTGAGTCCATGGCTTGGCAGTGCTCGAGGCGGGGGCATACTCAGGCCCTGTGGGTGGAGCAGGTGTGCTTGGCGTCCTTGTGTGGCTGCATCTCAGGGCTTTGACATTGAGAATATTTCCTGGATTCCATGGTTGCAGGGTCCTTGGGCAGCCCATGGATCAGGTCAAGCTTGGACCTCTCTCTGACCCTGGACATTTAGGCAGGGCTGAATCTGGTTTGGACAACTAAACTTTCTTGCCTACTCATCCCCTGTGCCCCAGCCACCA